AGTCCACATGCCTGAGGCTTGATTGATTTATTCAACATTTCCGGGAACGGCATGAAGTTGAGAGCGTTCATACAGCGTTGAACCTGGGATTTTGCGTCCCTGGTTTCGCGATGTCCGAAAATAGCATCTGACGGGTCCGGAAAGGGAAATGGTGCTGGTTCTGGCCAATCAGAGGCTACGAGAGCAGACACCTACACCGGATTCGGCAATTGGTCTATGCGCTTCCGTTTTCGGATGTTCACATACTCCAAGTGGAAGAATGCCTTAAGATCTAGGCAGAACTTCCGGCGTTTGGCCTTTGCAGTGTCAGTACAGAATAAGTCCAGAAGACTTTGGAATAACATACCTATGACGCTTTAATATACGCAACACAGAGGAACGAGATATACCAAGTTCATCAGCTAAGGCCTTGGACGATTTCTCTCTACCGGCTCCATCCTTGGTAACTGATTGAAGAACGGAATTTTCGACTTCTTCGGTGATCTTAGGCCGACCAGATCGTTTAGCGTCTTCCACGAATTCTATTTTGATCCTTGGATCCTGCGTGGGGTCGAACCCTCTGGCCTTTGCACGGTTATAGATGTCCTGGACACTCCGCTGGGGTAGTCCTAGGTATGCAGCAATATCTTTACTAGGGATTCCCCAGGCTGCGAGAGATAGAGCTTGGATCCTTATTTCAATCGGGATGAATGCCATGGCTCCGGAGGTCCTAGATAGGCAGGTAGGTGGATAGGCAAGCAGGCAGGTAGGCAGGAGTCAAATCACTAACAAATAGAAAATAAATCTCAAATAATGATATCTAGAAAGCTATGTTTTGACCAACAACAGAGACACGTCACGTCACCTAGGAAATTTCTAGGGCGGCGGTAAAGAGTGGGTCCTATATTACTAGCGCTGCGCAACGACTTTTGGTACTGTCCGTATTTCTCGGTCTTTATTCACAGAATCCATAAATATGGGTTTATATTAAATGGGTGGATATTCTAGAACTGATAGGTCTATTTAGGCCTCAATAAGCAGCACCACAGCCTCATATGGACGAAGAGACCACTTGGAACCAGAAAACCTCTCCTTCACGTCGCTGGCGCTGTCATACGTGTTCAGCAACACATCCTTAACCGCCTTCACGCCATTCGAAGAAGAATCCCATTCCAGTGTGCCGTCAGTCCAGTTGGCCAACACCAGCGCCTTCTGGTCTTCATACTGGCGGGTATAAGCGAAGATCTCCTGGCTATTTCGGTCGACCAGCTCGTAGTTTCCATACACAAAGATGTCCACGTATTTCTTGCGGAGTCCGAGCACTGATGCCCAGTAGCTGTAGGTAGAGTTGGGGTCGTTGACCTGAGCCTCAGCGTTGATGCCGCGAGCGTAGTTCGGGTTGACAGACATCCAGGGCTTGACGTTGGGGCCAGTGAACCCGGCGTGTGGGGCATTCGCCCATTGAACTGGGGTACGACCGTTGTCGCGGGATTTCTTCTGGTATTCCTGTCGGGCAATCTTTTGCACTTCAGGGTCATTTGGTAGCCTGTGTAAGTCTAGGGTTAGCATATGGTCTCCGAGAGTAGAAAGGAGAGCGGAAATAGAATGCTTACCTCTTCCAGTGGTTGAGGCAGTCGATATCCTTGTACTCTTCGATGTCCCATTCGAGAGGCACGTTGCCCATGCCAATTTCCTGACCCTGGTATACAAAAGGCGATCCAGCTTTCAAAGCCAAGATCGTGGCCAGCATCTTGGATGCAATAACTCGGTCTTCCTCCTTTGCATTCGTGTAACGGTCGACCGACCGCGGCTGGTCGTGGTTCTCCCAGTACAGGGCGTTCCAGCCATCATTATCATACATGAACTTCTGCCACGTCTCAAAGAAAGATTTCAAGTCGGTCAGCTTCCAGTTGCCCGGCTCGAACTTGTCATATGTGCCATGATCGATGTCGACATGCTCAAAGTTAAAGATCATGTTGAGCTCATTCCGGTCATACTTCACTGCCCGGAGCACCTCTTCCGTATCCTTCACGAAGGGCATTTCGCCCACACTGAACGTATCGTATTCCTTTAGGATCTTACCAAGCTCCTGGAAGTATTCATGCAACCGAGGACCATTAGCATAGTATTTGTCACCCCATTGCCAAGGGGTACGTGGGTCCTTGATCGGAGCATCCGGGAAACGCTGGTCTTTGCTGATGAAGTTGATCACGTCCATACGGAACCCGTTGGCGCCTTTGTCCAGCCAAAAGCGCATAATATCATGGACGGCCTTGCGAACTGGCGGATGCTCCCAGTTGAGATCCGGCTGTTCTGTCGCGTATAGGTGAAGATAGTATTCCTGCGTATGTTCATCCCATTCCCACGCGCTCCCTGCGATCGCAATCAGCCCACAGTTGCACCCAACTACAAGAGATATGCATAATGTATCAAGGGACAAACCTACCTTGGAAATGTGACACCCAATTGTTCGGCGGCTGGCGATTTCCCTGCTCATCATATCTGGCCGGCTTCCAGACGTACCAATTCCGATACTCGTTATCCTTCGAGCTGCGCGACTGCTTGAACCACTCATGTTGGTCACTGGTGTGATTCACTACCAGATCCATGAGGAGCTTCATGCCCCGCTCATGGCACCCCTTGATCAACTTTTCCACATCTGCGACCGTACCGTATTCAGGGGCAATTTCGTAATAATCAGCGATATCGTATCCCATGTCAACCTGGGGCGACTTATACGAGGGACAGAGCCAAACAATATCAATCCCGAGGTTCTTGATGTAGTCAAGCTTCGAAATAATGCCGGGAATATCACCGATGCCGTCATCGTTGGAGTCCTTGAAGGAGCAGGGCCAAATCTGATATACAGAGCTTTCCTTCCACCAGGCGCGGTGGATCTGGTTGGCGAGTTTGGCCATGGTTTAGCGTCTAGGCAGTATATGATTTCCTAGAGTAACTTGAATTTACAGGAGAATGAGGGGAGGCTTCAGTTAATCTATGTGTTTTGTTGTTGTTGGGAGGGGCAGTTTGTTATCCGATAAACATCCACCGCGGGGCAGCTCCCTCATCGAGCGGAGAAATTATCGGTGGGTTGCATGACGGACCTATAGACTTTCATTTTGGACTATAGCTCACCAGGGGAATCTTATGAATTGAGGGTCTGACCAAGGTTCAGCAGCCAGTGAAACTTAATAGCAGACTGGTTCCACTTGTAGGTTGATCGAATGATGATACGACACGGAGAGCTTTCGGCGGATCCGTTGCCGATGGTCGATCAATCAATGGAGCTGCTACTTCTTGCGTATTTCGAGTGCGTGTGATGCTCACTTGTGTTTACTTTGTGCTGCACATATTAGAAATAATAACGTATGCCAAACCAGTAAGAAATATCAGAATAAGTGCGACAACTCCAGCATAAAACATAGACCTCCGACGATAGCCGTATACTATCCAACAGTGACCTGACAACCCAAATATTGACGACTGTACTTGACCTTCTAGCGACTAATAGTCACGCTCTGTTCATAGACCGAAGAATACCTTGAACATCTGCAAATTTCAGTTCGGTCATTGTTTCGTCCCACAGCCTCTCAATGGCTTGTTTTCCTTCGGGTGTATATAGGACGGCAGCAAACCTGAGAAAGCATATATTAGCAAGACATGACGCATAGAAGATGCAGTATACTCACGGTCGAATCTGCCAGTCCATAAGAAAGCAGCCGTGGGACTCCTTGCCCTTAACCACTGTTGCGTCCAGATATGTGGAAGCTCCATCCCTGACAGTCCGAGCAGTGGCCACCTTCGCAAGGGACATGAATAGTGATACAACACCAGAAACTCCACGCTGGAGCTGGGTGCCCTTGGTAAAGCCTGGATCCACCAGATTCACCACTACGTCATCCGCAGATACGTAGTCGGCAAGCTTCCACATGAACATGTGTCCGAGTAGTTTGGATGCGCTATATTGCTCGGTCCAGTCGAAATTCTTCGGGTCATCGTACGAAGGTAGGAGTGGAGAAAACTTTCTGTGCGGGAAGCTCGCAAAGAGAGCAGTGCCCGAATTGACGATGCTCAGTCGGCCGGGTGTACCAGCTGGTACCTTGTTCTTGAGAACAGGGAGGAGAAGAATAGAAAGGAGTACCGTCGACAGGTAATTCACTTGGACGGTCTCCTCATGGCCGGTGCTCGGATCAACTCCAAAATGCGGGTTTTGCAATCCGGCATTGAGAATGACTATGTCGAGACGAGATAGCTGGCTTTCGGTGCGGCGAACAAAGGCGCGAATAGAATCGTATGAGCTCATGTCTAGTTGCCAGACTTCGATGGTGGCCATGGGATACTCCTTCCGGAGTGTAGCGGCTGCTGCCTCACCTTTTGCGACTGAGCGAACGGCGATGATTAAATGGGGGAGATTGTATGATAGGAGTTGACGAGAGCTTTCCAAACCCAAGCCGGTATTGGCTCCCGTTACGATAGCGACTTTATGAATAAGTGTGGTGTCTTTCGGCGGCGATTGGGCCTTAGTACACAGCTGGGACTTGACATAGATATTAGGGTAGAATGGAGTGGTGCAGGGTGGTAGATCTCTCGAAGCAGTCATCATGAAGTAGCCCTTCTGTCTTGTACTAGCTTTCAAGACTCGTGGAATTGAGGTATGTCTTGGAGATTTGGGTGTAGGTTTGGTGATTGTTGTGAGTTGTGTAAACCTGGGATTGTAAGAAATAGCATTTCTCTGATCTTGGAAGACTTTATATATGCCAGTTCAAGACTCATGCCATGGACATTGCTACCTCAGACGCTGGAGGAATTGCGATATACTCTTTTCTCCCAAAACGGTTAGTGACCCTAGTGATAGCTGTATCAGCCAATAGGATTCAGTCTGCGATGAACCGCTATTCCCGAATAGGATAACAATAGTTCAACCAATCGGCGTGATGCCCGTCAGTTGAATGAATCGTCAGCTCCAAGAGGCGCGCTTCAAAGATGGCTGTAAGCGGACTTAACTCTCTTTCGGACTGTATCCCCAACTAGGTAATTAATCCAGGAAGAAGAAGCCTAGCAAGGCGTTGTTCCAGATTGACTCATGCTCTCTTGACTTCTCATGTCACTTCTTGCTTAGGCATGTCTCTTGAAGGTGGATCAGGTAAGTCCGTCGTTCGTCATTCATCAACTGTCATATTGTGTAACTCCGGGGACATATTCTCACTATTTGGGTAGCGATGTTACCAATCATCATATCCACAGGCACAGGGAAGCCAGACCCAGACACGCGCAAGCTTATTAGGAGCCATGTCATGCTAGGAAAGAATCAGGGCAAATCCCGACGTTCGGGGCGCGATGACCGAGCGGAGTTAGAGCACGATGAGACTTGTAATGCAAAGCCTAGAACTTTGCGGAAGCAGCCTGGCCCATTGGATAAGAGGCCGCCTTCTATCATTCCGCAACGGGTTGGCTCGGAGGTCTCCCTGCTACAATTTGCGGACACAGTGGAACCGGCGTTGGCTGTGGATATCGTAAGATGTAAGTCAATGTTGCAGATATGGTAAAGCCCTACTAAGTATATTCTTACCGATGTAAATACAGTTTCGGCTATATCGAAGAGAACATTATTCACCCTAGAGAGATATCTTTCCTTTCCGAAGAAAAGTGACCAGTGGCACGATCTGTTGATAGCGGATCCTATCTATCTCCATGGCATGGCTTTCATAACGCAGGACTTCTTCGATGGATTGTCGGGTTGGCAATTTGAGACAAAAAAGACGACCTCATTACACTTCTTGAAGACACTTCAACTCCTCCGCGAGAGGCTATCCCTTCCAGACGAGCAATTGAAAACGTCGGATGCTACGATAATGGTGGTTCTGTTCCTAACGACACACGCGCTTGTTAGGGAGGATTTTGACGCTGCCAAGCATCACCTCAGGGGCCTTCATAAGATTGTGGATCTGCGAGGTGGCATGGACACCTATACCTACGATGTGAACCTGAAGACCGAAATGTACCGGTATGCCTTTTCGCAACTTGACCACCATAAAACAAGCGAAGAATAAAGCCCTCTAACCTAGACATAGATCTGATTTATCAATTGCCCTTCAGAGCTGTACAAGCCCTCTCTTCTTTGATGACACTCTACGGATTTCGATCCTGACTACACCACCTCTGAGTGGGCACGCTAACGAACAATTCCTCCAAAGCATAGACGATGATCTAGCTAGAACATGGAGCATTATGAGGAGATTTTGTGTCCTCGTGAATAAAGCTATCGAAAAGCAACAAAGATTTTCGATGGAGTTCTTCATGGAGACAATGACTTCAGTGATGTACCGCCTACTCAATATAGAGTTTGAAACAGGTTCGATTGCTGAAGCTCTCCGTCTCGGGCTTCTGGCCTTCTCCTCCCATATCTTCTTGCAGTGGCAGGATATTCGACGGCCGTACATTCAATTCTCTGCTGCGTACAAAAAATGTCTTGTATCTCTCAAGTCTTTAGATGGTGTTTCATCTCATATCGTACTTTGGCTCTTAATGGCTGGTGGAGTTTCAGTGTTCGGTGCTTCTGATGACGAGTGGTTGAAGCCTTGGTTACGGGCTAATAGCCAACTATGCAAGGTACGCTCATGGCCAGCGATGAGGGATGTCATGGAGTCATTCATGTGGATTGGTGCGCTGCACGACAAACCTGGGAAGGATTTATTCGAATCAGCCTTGTTGCAACCGTCTCCCGAAGTGTACCTGCCCAGTGTATAAATCTATTCTCTTTAGTTATTGGAGGTAATACCATAGTGATATCCCAGATTTCACAGTTTCTGAATCAATGCATAGTGTAGCATAATACATAATACTGTGTGGAGTATGTAGATGTAGCTTAACCTTCAATATGTGAGTGTTGTATCCCACAAGCAGCTCTCTTCATATGATATTTTCTCAGTGTGTCAAGGTATAGTCAAGTTGAGAACCATCAAAGTTCCAGTTACGAGACGAAATAGGCAATAGAAACCCTCAGTGTCTTGATATGCTAAAGTATATACGGTCCCACTTTACCCCACAGCACCGATAAGACCTCAACGGCCTCAGGCACTCACTCGAACACGATTCCCCTCACTCCAGTCATTCCTCCGATATCAACACCAAACAAAACCTTTATAAAGAACACCTACCTTGAAAGAGCCATCCAAACCAGAAACCACATAACCGACCCTCCCTAATCAGGCCACACCTCTCCAACACACTCCAGGAACCACCTCTATGACGTAACCACGCAACAAAAGCCGCCCAGCAATTCCTCTCCAACGCATTCATACAAACAACATTCCTAACCAACCAACCAACCAACCAACCCACCCTCAAAATGACCTCCTCCGACCCAACAACACCAGCCCACCTCGACCCGAAAACCTACCCCCGTCACCTAACTGACCCAGCCCAAAACATCCACCTCGAGCTCACCTACTCCCCGCTCGACGCGCAATCCGCCCTGGACAAAATCTCCTCCCCGGCCGCCGGCGCAAACGTCCTCTTCCTCGGCACAACGAGAAATACCTTCGAGGACCGGCCCGTCGCACAGCTGAGTTACACGGCGTACCCGCCCCTGACGCTCAAGACGCTAGCCGGGATTGCACGGGACGCGGTCGCGAAACATGGGCTGACGGGGATTGTGATTGCGCATCGGTTGGGGGTTGTGCCGATTCGGGAGGCGAGTATTGTTATTGCGGTTAGTTCCGGGCATCGGCGGGCGGCGTGGAGGGCTGGGGAGGAGGTGTTGGAGATTTGTAAGGAGAAGGCGGAGATTTGGAAGCGGGAGGAGTTCGTAGATGGGGCGATGGAGTGGAGGGAGAATAGGGAGAGGGATGGGGATGGGAATAAGGTGGTTGTTGGGAAATGACAGGGGGGGTTTTCTTTTGGTTGGTTTATTATACATCAATATGTATATGGTGAGTTGTTGTGGTGGGGATGAGAAAGATATGGGACCAGTGTGCTGATCGGCTCTAGATGGCTATATTTTCACGATGTTTACGGACGGTCATATAATGCTACATGCTATCGGCCCGTGTCTGAGTAGGGTATTTCTATTGTACATACTTTTCCATGCTATTCGTACACTCTAGTCCTTTCTCAATGGCTTCCCTTCGCGCTTCCAGTCGTTGATGTGCTCCATGATCACCTTGGTAGCCGAGTCGGGGGTGTCCTGGCGGCCAATGCATTCGACGAAATCGCCCTCGGGGTCTGTACCACGGAATTAGCAGTCGTATGGTATACTATACAGACGAAATCACTCACCCATCAGGTAGAAGTAAATACTGTGGTCCACCAGATAGTCTTCGCCTGGGTTCACGTTCTGCGGTGTGCTGAAGTACACCCGGTACTGCTTGCACATGTTCTTGACCTGATCGTACGTGCCAGTCAAGCCGATAATATCTCCGTGGAACTCCTGGAGATACGAGCGCAGCACTTCAGGAGTATCGCGAGCGGGATCGCAAGTAACGAAGACAGGCAAAAAGATGTTCTCGCCCTTGGTAGCCTCCTTCACCTTGTCAATGATCTCGGCCATCTTGTCCAATTCGTCGGGACAGATATCAGGGCAGTGCGTGAAGCCGAAGTAAACCTAACAGATTATAATCAGCGCCATTAACGGGCGTATAGAGAGTTGTCCCCAGACATTGAACATACAAAGCTGTATTTTCCCTTCAAGTCCTCGTCGGTAAACTGTTTGCCGTCCAGGTCCTTCAACACAAACGGACCTCCAACCTTCGGCCGGCCGACTCCCTTGCTCATCTCTGCGACACGCTTTCGCGCCAACCGTTCCTTCTCCACCCGGAAATAAACGATCATGCCCGCACCGGTAATAACGAAGAGCAGCGCTGATTTCCATGAGAATGGACCGGTGGAATTCCGGGCCTTGAGCTGGCCCATTGTGCGTGCCCGAGCGCGGAAGGTAGTCGTACTGAAGGAGCGCTGAGAGGAGAGGCCATTGTGTCTGAGAGTTTGAGTGTATGCGGCCTGGGCCGGTTTTGTCCGGAGAGGAAGGAAAGCGTTTTGCGATGGGATTGATCGGAGGGTGCTGCGTTCGAGGGTGGGAATGGTGGAGCGAGACGCTCGTCCAACCATTTGGACGAGAGGTCTCATTGTCGATGCCATTGGGGTGTCAAAGGGAGGACTGAACGGGTTTAGAGAGGAACGAGAGACTGGTAGTGATCGTGAAGCGGTGATGGTTCGAGATCTCCGGCCGAAATCCGCTGTTAGCGTTGTGGCCTGAGGTGTCCTTCACGCCCACGTCCTCACGTGTTGCTTTGTAGCCTGAGGCAGGAGTTTATATCCCTTGACTCGAGCCATCATGCTTGCAATTCGCTCCTAGGTTGATAATTCCTCTACGAAACTAGTGCTCATGACGGAAAGTGAACATTCATATTTAGAACGCAAAGGGACCAGTGATTGAGAAACATCTTAGTCCCAGGATGTCTATACCGAATGGCTGACCTACATACTACTACAAGCCATCTTTTTCGGGCTATCTGTATTCGCAAATTCCGCGAACATTAAGAAATTTACATAAGCTGAGAATATTAGTTACTACACAGTAGAGAACTACCAGCCTGTTCTAGAGCCACGTTGTCATGGATTATTAACCGTGATCCATCAATCCGCATCTGCCGTGAGTAACCATGGCTACACCACCGTCATCGCGACGTTACGTCTTACAGGAATTCTAGTCAGTCCTTTTGCCACCCCCACAATTCTGGATCTGGGGAAGCCCTTCAGACTTGCATTTTAACGAATTGTTTTTGACTGTGGGGTCTTTAATCGATGCCTGCTAGCCGTAAAAAAACGCACGAGTCACTGCTCAACTCCACTCTTAGAAACCAACAAGAAAGAGGTTCATGGTAGGTGCTTCCTATTGGATGAAATAATGCCAAATGAATCATGATCAAGAACGTATCATGCTTTGCTATGCCGAACACTCATGTTTGAATCAATCCCGAACTTTCAAGCGGACCTACACTGCACATTCGGGGTTCATATCAAGCTCTTCGAAGAAAGGCTTTTTACACATCGGACACTGATTATGAAACCCCAAGAACCAATTCTCTAGGCACTCTCGGTGAAACACGTGGTGGCATTGAAGAGTGTGGATCGGGTCCTTCTTGCGGACCTTATCAAGACAAATAGAACTAGATCGGCATATCAGTACACTGTATGACGGTTGACCTAACAAACCAGCAGCAATGGAGCATTCAGAGTTAGAAGGTCCTACCATGTGAATAGATGATCCGATTGCTTTAGTGGGGATTGTATCGTTTGAACAGACAACCACCAGATTTTGAAGGGCTTGGTTGGGGCAACTCTTTCCAGACAGTCTAATCGTCTTTCCATGTTGTCCTGGGGAGGTACATGTGCTATTGCGGGATCAGTGGTTCCGAAGGCTAGACTCGAGTATGCCAGACAATAGGATCTTAGTAGTAACCTGCTCTCACGGTCAGATTCGTTATATCAGTCGCAGCAAGACAACATTTGCATCCAGAGCAAGGACTAAAAGCGGTCTTACCATATGGCAGTCACGACGTACACGGTTAAACACACTACCAGCAATACTTGAAAGGCTAAGCCGTCATTATTTGCATTTTTGACTTCCTCCTTCGATGTTGACTCCGTCTTCCAATCAGGCATATTCGCTGTGAGACTTAAGTAATCGATAGATATATTGTGGATCCTCTATAATTAGACTAGAGGGAGTTGAGTAAAAAGGATCAGCTGTTTTATAAAGGATTGTCAGCTAACCGTCGGTCTGTCGTGTCATTGGAAACGAGAGTATCCTCAACCATGGAACCAGGCCGTCAGCCCTTCCCCATCCAGTCGGAGATATTCAGTACCAACCGCGTTAAGCCGTGTGTATCTTGGAGGAGAGTCTGTGTTACATTATCTTTCCCATATAAAAGAATCCTCATGCGATGTCTAGAGTGTGTTGTATTATCTTCTGATCTCAGCAGGGATTGCTTTGCGAGGCTTGAACGTTGGCCCATCGGGTGCATTTAATTCGGATGGATCGTCCTCACGGTGCATAAACATGTAACGTGACTTTCGATAGTTTACACCTTCACTTTTGTTCCTCCATAACAGGATGCTGGATCCTTGAGGCTGCTTCTTGAATGCAATTTAGAAAGGTACCAGTAATCTATTGCACTCTCGACGCAGAAACCATAAAAGGTCATATGATCTTTTACCGTAGTGAATATAACTAGAGTTGTCTTGGCCAATATTTGTAATTAATATGTCACCAACTTTCTTGAACTCTACATACAGGCTAGTCAGACGACTTCCTGCCTGAATATTAACTGATCGGATTATCGATCGATGAATCCTCAAGGCGCATCTAGCTACATAAGTATAGCTTGAAGAGCGAACGGACATATCCTGGAATTAAAATATGCCATTTCTATCGTACGCCCATATACTTGAACTCCAGCAACAGCTGGAAGGCACCCGGGCTCGGGTGATATGCGCCGGCTCGGACGAGTATGCTGAGAGCATTAAGCGATGGAGTGATACGTGTGAGAAAGAAGCTGTGCGTATGGCTTTGATACTTACCAGGACATACCAGAGAGGCCACAACCCATAACGTCCTCCATCTCCCTTAACATTACTACAAAGCTTTGGCTCATTATCCACGGAAAATGTCTCTAACAGTACCACAGGGCGCAGTAGTCAAAGTCACCTCCACGTCCGAGGTCTCTGAAGTGATTGAGTTCGCCCGAAAGCATCGTATCTCTTTCGTTGTAGAAGCCGGGGGACATTCCACCACTGGATCCTCAGCATCGCATGGTGGTATTGTAATCAGTCTTTCTCAGATGCGGAAGGTCCTCACAGACCCCGCTTCAAAGACAGTTTGTGTACAAGGTGGCGCAACTTGGCAGGATGTCAACAGCTCTACGGCTCCCTATGACTTAGTGGTTGTAGGTGCGACTTCAAGTCATGCCGGCGTCGGAGGATCGACACTAGGGGGAGGTTATGGATGGCTGACAGGAAGGTATGGTCTGATTATTGACAGCCTGCTGAGTGCCAAAATGGTGCTCGCCGATGGGTCTATCGTCGAAGCGTCGGAAACTACTTCCCCGGATCTTTTCTGGGCGGTTCGAGGTGCCGGACAAGCCTTCGGCGTGGTGACCGAGTTAGTCTTCCGTGCGTATGACATGAAACATCACGTATTCGGGGGAGCCCTTTACTTTACACCAGAGAAGTTACCGAAGATTGTGGATTTCGCCAATGAGTTTCACCGTCGCATGGATGTGAACAGCGGTTTCATGTTTGGATTCACGGCCCCACCGTTTATGACAGAGACGGCTATACTAGTCGTTCCTTTTTATAATGGCACCCGGGAAAAGGCAGAAGACTTTTTCAACCCCATCCTATCAGCTAGCCCTGTTGCGGGAAAAGCTGATATGATGTCTTACACGAGACTCAACGCGGTGGCTAATATAGAACCGTCTCCGGAGGGCCGCAAAAACATCAACGGGACCAATATTTCCCTACCACTTGACCCCGACTTTGTGCACGACATATACAACCAATTTGACAGGGTAATGAAAAGTTGTCGAAGGGTGGGGAATAGTGTGCTCATGTTTGAGCTGCTGCCATATACTCACATACTTGAAGTACCGTTGGACGCTACGGCTTGCGCTAATCGAGGCCGGTACTACAATGTTGGCTCGGTCTTCTGCTGGCAGGATCCAGATCTCGATCATAAAATGCTGACTGAGCAGCAAGATATTATCTCTAAGATTGAGAATTACGGATCCCGTGATGAGGGCGAAAATCGTGTAGCCGCATATGCCAACTATGCTGGTAAGTTCCCAATCCAAGTCTTCAAGCATCCCTAGTAGCGCCACTCATGTTGAGCCCTCTCAACAAAATGCAGTAATTGACATTGAATAGGACATAATATCAGTGCTGCAAAGCTATTTGGCGAGAACTTAGAACGGCTACAGCAGCTGAAGAGGACTTACGATCCCAACAATGTGTTCAGAAGATGGCATGACCTCCTCCATCCAAGGAACGGATCACACGCAGGATAATCAATCTGTGACTAGATAGGCATGCCTAATAAATTTAATCCATATTATAATCGTCTAAGGTTATGGTGTGAAAGAGGTCACTGTAACATCAATCCAGCGGTTGATAACTCTAGGGCCCATCTCCGGGCCGTTAACAATTACCGGGTAGTCTAACCGTTGGTTCGGGAGAAGCAAGCGCCAATGAACAGAATCCGACACGTCCCAAGTTTTACCGAAAACTGTTAATTGGTGGGTTGGGGTGGCATCTGGGGGATTTGACTTCGATTCCGGGGTCCAGAATTTGGCTGTCATGAACCCTATTGCGGGTCTGGAGGTGATTTCCTTCGAAAGAATGTTCCAAGCTACAGACATTGAATTCTTTGTCCCACTGGTAACTCATGCCCGTCTTAGAAGGTGTCTGTCAGGTTATATCACTGCGGAAAGGTTAAAAATCGAACATATCCCTTATTGGACGCCATTCAGGGCCACGCAGAGTCGAGCAAGAAACAAAAGTTGTCTGTGACCTGTCCCCCGTGTGGCCTAGAAGGGATTCCAACATCTCACCCTGCATGCTGTTCCGTGGAACGAGGGATATGACACCTACATCCTGGAGGCTCGGCTATACGATCCATGACTTCCTATTCAACCGGGACTGAAGGGTTAAAGTACTGTATCTCATTCGACCGCCACCCGTGGCGTATACGAGGTTCAACGTCCTCTATGGTTCGAAATATGTTATATAAAGACATTCATGTAGGACGTCTTTCACAACCCATTGCCTTGCCTATCTACACATACCCACATAATACATACTTTGCATAGCACTCAATCTCTTCAAGACCTCTGGAGCCCTAGTCTCCACATATTCCCGTTCAAAACGCGATGTCTTCTCTGCTTGGCACTCTGACCAACAACCTCCATACTCCGGACAACTTATTCTACTCCAAGAACAGTCACCCCATAGCCATACACGATCCGGAATCTGCTGCAAGCTCTCCACCCGAAAAGACCCTCCCAGTACCGATGTCGCATCATGACCATCCCTTAATCTTGCCTCCTACGACGGACTTCGACACGACACATAAGCCTACTCGAGAATCCCCGGCGCGTTCACACCGGGGCTCACCTTGGAGACCAGCGAGCGCGTCTAGCAATAGCCACCAATGGGGTAGCTATAAAGGACTCGATAAGGACGCGCTCAGCTCTCTTCAGGAATACTGCAGCTCGTTTGATCAAGTCAGGCTTCTGAAGCGGGGATTACAGACCTTGACGTGATATTTTCTATGTTTTCTCCTGAGAACACGGTTCGTTAGGCGTTCTTGGGGAGCGGGGATTTGTATTTGGTGATTGGGTTATATAATTCTAGCACGGCGTTGGGTAACATGAAGGACTTGATACCACATCTCGGATACACCGATTTAATTGTCTATCGTTCAGACCTTCAAATATACCTACCTAATATATGCCTCTTTAAACTAATTGAGATATTACCACTGCTACCTATCTATTCCATAAAAAAAAAATAAAATTAAAAAAAATTAAAAAAAAGAAAAAACCCACTACAGTAAAAACAGGACTTTACACCTACGAAATCCATATACATTATGGGCACAAGAACGCCATGCACCCTAACCAACCCCCAAATTCCCCATTTCCTCCAGCAAACCCCATGTCCAAACCTCTCCATCACGCAGTCCGTTGAATAGATCGCTTTCGCGATAGACGGGCCTAGACGTGTCTAGACCATATTATAACCCCAATAAGCTCACCGTCTAGGCTTCTTCTAACCGGGGGACCATTGGCCTGTCAACCACAGTTTAGTGGTAATGTGACTTTTACCATGCGAAAAAGTTAATTCCTCGAATAACTCTTTCCGGAATTACTTCTCATCTTTGCCCGAGTCTTTCCTAGGCCTTCTTTCAGCCTAATTATGATATGCCGGTCACGATGGCTAGATGTAACCCTATTTATTAAGTAATCGTCAACCTTTTCAGAAGACTTCGTCCGGATACTTCCGTCTCCTCTGTTTCCTTGCGTCCGCTTCCCTTCATCCCAGTGTCCCCTTTCTTTTTTTTCTATTTTGTTTTTCTCTTTGTCGTGGAAATTGACAGGGAGTGAGGCTTGGTTGTGATGGCATGTTCCAGCCATTATGCTGGTATGTAAGGGGGAGCATGTTTCGTTTCCGGACAGGTTGTCATGGAAGAGGTTGGACATAACGGACAAGAACTCTCCCAGCATATGTACAAAGCTGAGTAAGATGAAATTTATTTCATCTGAGCGAGGAGAAGCTGGCCACCTAATTGCCTCCATTGAAGGTTTACCAATAATCATTTATCTAGTACTTAGTACCTAGTCGATATACCGTAACCCTAAATCCGAAGACCCTGAGTAACAACGAAAAGACTCCGCATAACTAACCTCAACTAACGGTACCTTGGCAACCAACAGGCTTGTCGACCAATCTACCAGCAAAATCCCAACATTGGATGGTGGTGATCTCCCCTTGTGTAGATTAGCTAGCTACACGCTGGTTATGTTGATTTGTACTCCTGGAAATATAATCACCACTAGAGTTATCAGTTCCATCGAAAGTAGATTAGTTACAGTTTATATTTGTCGTCATTTTTAGATATACAGTTAAACGTCAAAGTTGAACCTTCCTTCGTCCTTCCTTCCCGCCATCCTAAACTTAAGTGAGCCCTGTGGTAAGGAGAACTTTACAGGAAATGCAAATCTAGGGATGAAGATATGTAAGTGGAGAGGAACTCGTTAAGAACTCGGAATTTTGGGTTTTTGTCATAGATATATCTCGTGTTTGATGGGTTGCCCTTTTTTTTTATAGCAGGGTTGATAGGTTGTGGATGTAGGGTTGCCATGAACGATTGACATCCCTTGACAATGTCACTGGAATTTGGGGTTTGCTCGGTATACCTTCCCAGCTATTCAGGTGGAGTATGGAGAGTACGGAGTAGTTTGTGATCGGGATATGCTGTAGAGGTACTTCTGCGAGGCCTTGGGAATGTTTATGGTATACATAGCAAAGACGGTGAAGATTAAGATCAAACCTCCCACGGTGTAGCATGTACAACGATTGTACGGAAAGGGTTCTACGTATGCTAAAACAGGATAGAAAATTAAATACAACAAGCCAAAGACATCCCTCACAGTCTAAACTCTCCTGAATCATATTCCGCATAACATCGCCCAGTTCCCTCAACGTTGTTGGATGCCTCAGGATAATATGACCACCGCCATGATCAAAATACTCAGCGTTATCAACATTGCAGAGATCATCCAATGCGTTCGACCTCTCTAGAAATGCATTCTCGGCACCGATAACATGACAAGTCAGGATAGGGATATATTCCTCATCGTCAAGCCCAGTAGGAACAATAACATTTCCCAAGTGAATATCAATAGCCGGCCACCCTGATATGAAAACTGCGCATTTGACTCGCACGGGACGTCCGTGTTCTTCATACCGTCGCTGTTCTTCTGTCATAACATAGGCAGCTACCGTCGCCCCTTTTGAGTATCCAATTAGTCCCTCAATTTTGTCGTTTTGCTTGATCTCGAGAATAAGGTCCACGGCCCTTTCCGCGCTCGCCACGGTTGCCTCATTCTTCGACTCGTGTTCTGCGTAATGTATCGCTTGCTCCCGGTTGGGGATACTGGGCAATTTTCGCAGCTGGACTGTGAAGTCAACGCGCGTATGGATGAAGCGGTAATCCGGCGGCGGTCCGAAGTAACCATCTAGTGAAGAAGGCTTCGCGAGGATTGGGCCACGGGTGAAGTGGGGTTTGACTGAATTGGTACGTTGGGGCTCTTCAACTAGGTAACCTAGAGATTATATGTCAGGGCTATTTGGTCAGTAACTGGGAGGGCTTATGAGCGTACCAAGTTGGTCTTTGAAAATCTATCATTGGAGTAGGGGTTAGTATTTTAGATTGTAAGCATGTTTCAGACGGAGATCAAACATTTCATTGCCATAGGCTCCAGGAGGGGCATGTGGAAGGAACTACTTGCAAGGTATGCTATCTTTGAGAAGGCTCTAGAGAGAGCAGATCAATGCATTAAGAAACTAGGAGCTGACTTTTGCATCGTCAGTATGTTGTCCCTTTGAACACGACAAATAACCTGTGTAGGACGTGTCCTGACCATTCTAGGTGAGATAACGAGAGTAGGAGAGTCCTCCTTGCTCACAGATCCGTGTCACAGCCAGTCATCATGCATGGCGATCCAACTATCTTTAACGCAGCTTCTGAAATCATGGGGCGTGGTTTCGACCGCTGTCGTCGGGCAGTCCAGTGGTGAGATTGCTGCGGTTTTCGCCGCTGAAATGCTCGACTTCGATGACTGTATGAGAATCACATATTGTCGGGGAGCGGTCGCAGAGAAACTAAGAACCACAGATGTGAGGGGAAGCATCATGGCAATTGGCACTTGCAAAGAACACGCAGAGAAGATGATAGAACAGGTTCATAGCGGGACTGTTGTCGTCGCCTGCATCAACAGCGATTTGAGCGTTACAGTTTCTGGAGACACTCACGCACCAGACGAACTGCAGACGTTGGTCGAGGACCAGGGCTTTTTCAATCAGAAACTCTGGGTTGACGTGGCATATCACTCCCACCATATGTGTATCGTTTCTGCACCTACCTGTCCTTGATGGGAGATATCCGCCCTCAATAGTCGAGTATCAAGTTCTAATTACTGGGTTGCGAGCCTCTTGTCTCCCGTCAATTTTGTCGGGGGTCTCAGCAGCCTCCTTAGAGCCAAATTTCACTCTGGCAAACCCGTGGATACTCTGATCGAAATAGGCCCTCACTCCGCGTTAGAAGCACGAACCTGGGAAATCGCTCAGGAATGTGCAAGTGTAAAGAGCATCAGGCATCTGCCTTGCTTAAAGAGGGAGTCAAATACCGTTAATACTATGCAGCAATTTGCAGTGGGGCTATTCATGAGGGGCGCAGCTTGCTGCTGGTTATCCTTACACCAATATCGACCTAGGTCCCGTCAAAGGAATCGGTTACCTCTCCGAGAGAAAGGGAACTGAAAGGAAGTCCTTGACACACTCGAAACCCAGGGAGTCGAAGAAGAAGAACTTCATGCTCTTTTGGCTGGAGCAATTAGTGGCAAGATGCCCAGCACCTGCAACTGCTGTCAAGAAGGCTGGCAAACGAGAAGCCGCACAAGCATTGGTCATGGATGCTCTAGCTCACAAAATGTCTACCTTGCTCATGGTTTCTTTGGAGGATATAATTCCTTCCAAATCGATCTCCTCCTACGGATTAAACTCGCTCGTTGCCATCGAGGTACGAAACTGGGTTTTCCGTGAACTGGAATCCTATCTGCAAATCATGGAGATCGTTAGCGCTCCGTCTTTGGTTTATTTGGCAGATCGTATGATTTGAGATTCCAAGATCTTGCAACATTTGAAGGTGAATGATGGGCAGGACGAAGGAGTAGCGGGTGTTAAATAATAGGTGAGGAGGTTGGATGTGTGATGTGGCTGGGAGGGAGGGAGGCAGTGTATATTGAAGATGTGTATAAGTTTTGTACCATAATACCTCGTATACAGAGTACAGGAGTGTAGATTCCTGTTTATCAGATTTGTACTTATTTTCAAGGCATAATTGGCAGTACTTCCATGAATTTCCAAGACCATTGAATTCTGTTCATCTATACATGATTATTATCTTCAGTCTAAAAGTCTACTGCTCACAGGGAGGGTTTCGTTCGTTTGATGTGCTACCTCACGCAACTAATCTGGATAGTAATATAACTCCTAATGGATCAAGAAGGTACATCATTCTGAGGTTTTCAGAATTTTCTTCAGAATTCGCTCGTGTGTAGAATTATCATCCAGATCTGACTGATTCCACTACCTTAAGAAACTTTCGTCGAATTGCGACTTATCATTGTAATACCAACGGAGAATATATATATATGCATATTTCACCTTCATCCGAGTGTCCCCCATATATAAAGTTATTCCATATACTACAAATACGATGTATCCGTTCATAGCGAGCTTAGGAAATGTTAAGCGCCAATATATATATCCGACAGACACGACTCGGAATCAGTACGACTAACGGCGGTATATGAAAGAGTCTTTGTATGAGAAAATCACACTGCTACGAGATTGTCTTGCTAGACATAGCAGGAGAATGAGTAGAAGTCGCAATAACAGTATGTCTTTCTATGGACCATTCTCTTTATGACATGACACAAACGTATATCCATGGAGTGAAACCGAGCTCATGAAGCGTAAAATTACAGTAATTAATCCAGCTCTTCGCTTGGAGTCCTGGGCGAATCTGCTCCGAATAAAGCTTCCTAGCAAAGCACTTGGATATCATCATATAACACCCTGGTCTCGGGAAAACAAATGCTGCTACCGAATGATAAAACAATGCCGAACAGGGTAATCAACGACGGATATAAGGAAAACAGGAACCAGAGGAAAAAAGAAAATAAAAGAAAAAGGAATAAAAATCAATGGCAGATGTATAACACTAGTCTTCTCATACGGAGACGTAAAGTGACGAGCTATGCAGCAAAAGAAAAGATAAGTAAAGGAATAAACGGCTTTTTGTCAACCACCAATCCTGTATGTACTGACTGCTGGGAAACCATATGTAGAGCTGGTCTAATGTACACTCCTGCTGGCTTGGCTGGCACGGCTGGCACGGCTTGCACGGCTAGGCGTAGTTCGAGGTTCTTCCTCTTCCATAACATCGCTAAGTCGGGTCGGATGGCGATGACGGGGGGTCACAGAGTCCCATGTAGTTCCCCATCCAGAGCCACTGTAATCTACAGAGCCCTGGCTATAAGGTGCCGAGGTCGTCGGCGGCAAAGTGCTAGGCACATAGCCCCCTTCATCCTCAATGGACCCCCGCTCATAGTCATCACTGTCCTCGGACATAGGACGTGGGTAAACGATGGAAGGCCCTTGTTGAGGCTGAGTACGGCGATATCCGCCATATTCATCATCGCCAGGCTCACTGCTAGCTGCGCTCGGATCATAGGAGCGATTGTCGTTCTCAGATGTCGGTCGGCCAGTGTAGTCGACGTCGTGTTCATAGTAATTTCCTGCATACTGTCCCGAGGATTCTGCAGGTGCAGACGTGTGCGGTTGTCGGGGAGCGTAGCGCTGGCTGTCAGATTCCTGATAACCTCGCTGCCCCTCCGTGAACGGATCGGTCTCTGTAGGTGAACCAGGCGCCTCTTCATAGTAATGACCTTCGGATGACTTTCCTGGGCCACCTGATGGATGGTTCGCGGTGTTTGACCGAGTAGGTAGGCCCTGGATCATCGGCACCACCTGCACTCCTCCGACCAAGGTGGGCTCTCCGTTGCGGAGTGAGTTCGTTCGATCCCTTTCCTCTTGCTCACGGCGACCAAGTTCCTCCCACGCACGTCGGGCTTCTTCCTTGGATATCTGAAGTTCCCGGCGCATTTCCTTGAGCAGCGATTCCACGCGACTCTTGTCACTCTCGGCCTTCTGCAATGCGGCCATTGCTTCTGTCCGCGATTGTTTCTCGGTCCGGACTTGTCGTTCCAAATCGGCCTGCAGTTCTTTCGATCGCTCTTGCTCTGCACGGGTGTCGAAGAACCACCGCTGGAATTTTCGCTCGGATGATGCCCGCAGACGCTGCAATTCCACGACCGCGTGAAAAAGGTTAGCGCCAGCAGCGGAGAGATCGGTCACCTGACGGGCCATCTGCTGGCTGATGGGGTCACGTTCCAATGCCTCACTATTCTGCTCCAGCTTTCGAATCCAGTAGCCAGTTAGGCCTTCCCAATGGGAGGATAACGTTTCCCACCGTTCGAAAGCGTGAGGAAAACCGACACGTCGTGGTGACTGCGGCGCTTGGGAGGTGCTAGGCTGGTTGGAAGCTTGAGCTTGTGGTTTTTGAAAGCCAGTGGAGCCTGTTGGTGGCTGCTGGGGATTGTGCTGTGTCGAAGGCCCAGGTTGTCTGGGGTGGGCGTGTGGGCCCGGGGCCTGACCGTGAGCCTGGGAATCTGGTCGCTGAGGCGCTGCTGGAATCCCCGGAGGCTGTTGCGTCGGACGAGACTCCGGCTGAATGTCGGACCCCGCGGGAGCACTGGGGCCAGCTCTCCGCTGTGAAGGTCTATTACCTGCAACGCCAGCAGCATAGGGCTGGGCTGGATCCTGAGTCCTTTCCTGTGGCTGCTGCCGCCTGCGCTCCGCCTCCTCCTGCTCCCTATCTCTGGCTTCCTGTTCTGCTTTCTTGCGAGCTTCTCGGTCCCGGCGCTGTCTCATGATATCGGTCGGTGTCCGGACCCCACTTGGGGGGTGTGTGTTAACGGGGACAGGGCCATGGGCTGCACGCGAAGCGCCATTTTGTGTACGCCCTGTGCCTGCGAGGCCGATCGAACCAGTCGCGCTTCCCAAGTCAGACATGGGCGCATTCACTTCTTCCCAATCCGGAGTAAACGGGAGGGGTTTTCGAATCGCTTCTTCTAGCGCCCAAAGAATCGCAGACGCTGTACGTGGAGAAACTCTGGTAGACCTGCGTGGCCAGTATGATTCGCCTAATATCCGAGGGCGATCGTCAGTGAGCGAGTCAGCGTCGTCGTCGTCTTCTTCTGTCTGGGCTTCGGAAAGCGCAGGACGAAGTGCAGCAACCCCACTATTACGATCCGACACAGGTTGGACCAGTACGGGAATTGTTTGCTCTATCTGGGCTGGGCGACCTGAAGCATATACTGATCCCGGCCGTTGACGAATTGAACGGGACGTTCTCCGTAATGATCGAGTACTTCCTTGACTACTCAGAGGGCGCGGGGACGGGTATCGGGGAGGGTCAGGGGCAGAATTGGAAGCAGCCTGCTGCTGGCGTTGCGGTAAATCTGTCGTAAACGTGGAGGGGTCGTGAATCTCGTAGGTCTCGTCAAATGCGCCGTGGGTGTGGGGAGACACCGCTGAATATGGATGTGAATGATATGAAGGGAAATGCGACAACGTGAGAATTGGCACTCGGCCGCCTACAACACAAATCGGTGGACAATTTCGATGACGTGAGAGTGTTCTCAAACTAAGAATTCAAGTTCTCCGAGGTCTTCGGGGCCCCAGCGCACACGTAGAACCGGCCTCTGGAGAGTGAGATAGATGTAAGTACGTACAGAATTAAGCACGTTGGAATGTGGATATTCTTTTAGGGACTGGAAAAAAAACTAATAAGCACTGAAGGGGGAAGAAGGGAGCAATTCCGAGGGTGAGGAAGGACTAAAAGTGGGCAGGTGTGCAAGGCAAGTGGCTGGTCGAATGAGAAGGCGTCGGGGATGCGAGGAATTGCGATGGCTGGGAATCAAATCAATTGGCTTTGTTACCTTTAAAGCTCGCTCTCAGACCGCCACGAGCACTGGACGACGCTCGTAGCAGTCATAGAGCAGAGCTCAATGGCTGCCGACGGAAGGCGAAATAGTCCAATCGGTGTGTTGCGTGGAGAATGACAGTTGTACGTACAGCGCAAGAAATATTAATAGAATACCTAGGGAAGAATGGAGAAAAAGTAGAGTAAGTGTAGGGGGTCACGGGAAATGTGTAGTCAGCCAAGTCACGGGCCCCCATCAAATCCAGTAACCAACAAACAACACTTTTCGCCATAGTGGAATTGATTCATCCAGTCTTTTTCTGCTTTGTCGCGGTGCTAGACAACATAATTGTCGCAGAATGGGCTTTTATAAATGACTCTCGCTTGCCTCAGTCGTCCCCATCCTCACTGGTAAGGTATAACTCCGCGAAGTTACACCTCACCTCCCCGCGTGATTCCACGATGGGGCGCAATTGAAAGAACAATATTACCATTGCATACTCTGTACATATCGATAAAATCCATCACCCTTGTTAGTCTATCTCACGTTGAATTGCATCACAGTTGAAATGACTCTTTGACAAAGAACTAAGGTTCCATGCTCCTGATCCACCGTCAGATGCGCTGGCGGCGCATCTCGGCTGGATGGGTTTCATATCGTTGTGATGCCTCATGGAAGCCTCAGTTCATGCTGGCAGTCAATGCAACCTGCTTTGGTCCATAATGATGTCGAAGTTTGGAGAAGTAAGACAGGGCCACGAATTAGTCGAATCAGATCGGTCCCAACCCCTGGACTAAAGAAGGACTAAAGAAGTTCACCTGGAGTGGATTGGACGATGAAACGAACCAATGGGTCTTCTCCACTCTGGATCCCCGATCTGGTTCGTCTGAACAGAAGCACAGACACGGTCCATAGTGAGCGTTATTAGCAACTCGACTTCAACGATTCGGCCGGTTCACCACTCAGTGCTAGGAGGCCCTTGAATCAGTGGGCTTCTTTTGGTCGCACTAGGATATATTGTCAATCTTGGGAAACAGTGACTGAAATGAGAAGAACAAATGAAAATTAATTTTCATGCTCTCCTTTCCCCCTTTCCCGTGCCCTTCTCTTCTCGTGCATGAAATGTCAATTCCAAAATCAACCAGGATGAAAATCAAGGGATGCTGATCGCTTTCCCGATCGGGCCATATTGTTTACTGTCAATCGTCAACCTTGTTTGCGGGACGATAGTCGATTTTTAACGACCGAAGGTTAAGACAAATGGGCTATATCTCAGAGTGCATCTGACGAGAACCGACATTCAGTAAGGGCAGCCCTACAGAATATCCTCCGGCGCTGATTGACTGGAAGGAATCCCGTCCGCCTGCCCCGGTTTCATATCTATCGACGTACCTTGCAGATACTGAACCACCAACCTGGGTACTTCTATGCGCATCTCAGCCGAGGTTGCTTTCATTACTTTTTGTCGTCTCTCTGTCTACAGCTCAGTGGCTGGTCACTGACGTTCAAAAAAAAAAAAAAATCAAAGATGGTATATTCTCCAACTCAATAAAAACGGGAGATGAGCCTATATGAGCATGTACAGGTAGTTGATTGGCAGGCAACGATGTTGAGCTTCATGAGGTGCTGTGGAAAGGTTTCATAGGTCGAGGCATGTGCAGGTTTTGCGACTGGCAGTGTGCTGCAGCAATCCCGGCCTTCCCCGTGAAGAAATCTTGGTTGACGATGCAGATGAGGCTCGAAAGGGTTTATTAAGTTTTGGTACTTATTACCCATGAGGTGCATGGAAGACTAGAACTTGACCGTCGCCGCTCATATAACCACTTGCATACTCGATAGACATGCATATACATATGTAGGTACAGAACATGAGCATTGGGGGCATGGAGGGCAAGTTATTGGACCCGTCAATGTGCGCCCGTGTCCGTAGATCTCTAACCTCAAGGCGTCTTCCGCATGATTGCGAATGCGCGTCATGCAAATGCTTTACTTTCCCGATGGTCTGGACACCTGTCCTTCCCCATCCCACCATACACTAGTGAAAGGCTTTCAAATGCATCAAGATCCAATATTTCGTGTGGGCCCGGAAAAAATTACTCGTCGCACGGGGTAGACCCTAGCGAATTGACAGGTCAGAAGGATCTGGCCTTACGGGCAATACGAGTTGAATCAACCATGTCTCTGGCCGAATATAGAAAGTCAATGCACACGATCGCCAGCTTGGTGAAGGCCTTAAAGCAAAGTACGGAATACACGCTTACAAGTAATAAATGGACCCATACATAAGCACCATAATATGCAAATATACTTTAGCTTACAGGTTCTGATGATCATCCTGGAACTCAATGACGGGGTTCCCGGCTGCATTCAACCATGATTTACGAAAGGGTTCACAGGGAAAACGCAGGTGACCAAAGAGAGCGAGGGTGTCATTCGAAGAACGAGGGGGAGGATGAAAAAAGAGGAAAAGGAAGAGGACGACGATATGGCCAGCGCATGACAGAGCGTTAGATGGCATGGAGGCTTTCGGGTCATGGCTATACTGGCCAGCAAGGATTTGCGAAAAGATATCCAATACATGAAGCCAGCCTCTTCGGAGAATAACCTGTAACAACGTTGGCTCTCAGAATCAGCCACTATACCAAGAACCCGCGAGGGTGGAGTCAACAGTTGGATGTTTCAATAGAGATCGTCTCTAAACTCTCTGACTATCCAATTTGGAGCTCCAGAAATGGGCAATAGTGTGTCATAGCAACAAGCACGACCTGCTTGGAATGCGGGTCCAACCACTCATTGGCTTTGCTTCTTTGGTGGAGAACTTTGTGAGCATGACTTTGCAAAAAGAGCGAAATGGAATCAGAGCAGCATGCGAGAAACTGTGACGGTGTGGCTTGAATTCGGCGTCATTTAAGCTTCCTTCCTGGCCTGCTATGACTTTTTGGGTGGTAACTATAGAATTATATTTCAATGACCATGCTAACGATTGGGCTAGCTGCAAAGCATACTGTTGAAGGATCGACATGATCGACAGCCAGCACAACCTGATAAAGGTTTAGTGGCAGATCGTGGGAGACTTCCGCGACGCGACTTTTGTCCAAGCGGAAGTGATCGCTCACATTTGCAGGAACATCGGCCTTCTATTACCAGGTAGCTGGGACTGGGGCCCAAATACCTCACAAACGTCTCCTAGTTAGAGTAGGTTTGCGATGTATGTGGATGAAACACCCTATCGATTGCAAATTATTCTGACGTAGGTGACTACCTAGTGGCAAATTGTCTCTTACGCCGAGTTAATCCCGGCTCCCTACAGCTATGCAGGTACTAATTATATCGATGGAGACCACCGATCTTGGAAAGGAAAGCGTGACGGGAATTAATCGAGTTTAGAATCCAGCCAGCGCACGTATTGCACTTTTCGCAACCATAGCAGGGACTGTTTCGTGGCCAATGTGCCAATCCAATGACGTCCTTGGGAATGGGTGCTTAACGGCCCTGACCCCAGTTGAGAATTGAATTCACAACACGAACGGAGAACATTGTGAATAAGTACGGTTGGCCTATGGCTCTCTTCAATACCCTGCGAGTCTAGGTTGCGGATCGGGATCCGCTTGCCTCCCTTGCTCCAGCCTCGATTGCCCGCGCCTTGCTGCAAGCGCCATCCCTAGGGAAGGGGACCATGTAAGGTCCAGTAGGCTTTTGGCGTCCGTGCTTTCGGGAGATTGAGCTTTGTTTACACCATTCTGCATTGGCATGCGGCGGCTCCTCTTCCCGGCCTAGCCACCAATGCATCGGGTGGGCTCCAGGCCTGAAAGGGTATCAATTGTGACATGTATAAACATAACCCTTTCTCCCTTGTCGTTGCCTATGCTCTGGCTACCCAGAGACCTCCCTATCCTTGGACGCTAATAGGTATTCGGCGTCTGTATCACTTGCTTCCAATGAACGCTCTATATCCTTAAGCATACACTGAACAGCTCTGTGGTTGTTGCAATATCACCCCATGGCTACCGCATATCATCCGCTTCCCGGGGAATTGAACGCTTTCCACCGTGGCCGCAACAGCTCCCAAACGAACTTTTGCCTGTCCCCGCCGTCGCCGCAGAAGAAACGGGCTTCATCCTATTATCCATCCAGGGATCCTGTGGCAACAGACGAAACCAACCCATTCTACCTCGAGCGCTCTCTGGAGTACGGAGTCCGACGAGCACACCGGCCTGGTGCTCGCGATGTTAGATTCAGTGAAGAAGCTAATCAGTATTATATGCTATCCCCCGTGAATACTGGAAAAGAGCTTCCTTGCCCTGTTCCGGTTCGTGGGGAGACTGCGCGGTCTCGTACTAACATCAATCGGTCAACACTGTCGGTGGTCGAGCTTGAACACCAGTTAGCTCTTCAACAGATTGCACCGCAGCCTTGGGGCCAGCCCAGCCATTATAGCCAAGGGTCGTTTGGTTCAGTACAAACGGAGAATACCCCAGACTTGACCCCAAGCAGCTCATTCTCCTCAAACTACTCTGCTCCCATATACCCCGACGACACAGCCAGAGCGAGCGAGCAGGTTGGCCGCCATTCCCATAAAGATATTAGCTCTGGTAACCAGGTGCACTTCCATCCATCAACACCCCAGAACTGTTCTCGAAGGGTTCAGGCCACTCAACCATCAACACCCACTCGGGAAGCCAGCCTGCGGACTGCCCCGTCTAACGCGTCGTCGGACACTTTAGTTATGCCTCAGCCTGACGCTTTAGACTCCCACCGTGGCAAGCCGCTACCCTCTCTGCCCGCTGTTGCGCGCAACGCGAACACTTTGGCAAACAGAAGAGCTCAAATAGCCGTTGGGAAACCTCCCATAGAGGCATCTATGATCTCTTCTCCTTGCCGTATCAATCCCGTCACGCTGGAGCCTCACACAACTCGCTTTGACGAAGCCATGTTTATCCCGGCCAATGACTGTCCAAGTCCCATTCCCAGCCCAGGTTCCAATTCGCCTTCCATAGATAAGCCAACCCCATTTGGTCGCGATAGGCCGTCGACATCCACATCCGAAGTGGTTTGTGAGCAATCAGTGTGGGAATCAGACTCGGACACCGAAGACATGGATCCAAAGTCGCTGTCTAGGAAGCCTATGGATACATTGAAAAAGGTTCGCAGTCGCGTGCACCTAAGGGTGGCCAAGTCAGCCCCCAAGTTACAGAACTCCAGCAACAGCCCCCAGGCTCTAGAAAAATTCCCTACAACGCCTGATCAGCCGCCAGAAGATCGTCGCCCGCCGCCGGTGAAGTCAATCGGGAAATCTCGTTTCTCTCCCGATAAGTTCCCATCGGCACAGCAAACGTTACGTATCGTAGCTCCATCGAACACATCCCTCGTGCCACCACGGACTCCTCGGTCCCGTCGTAACAGCAAGGAAGAGCGTCCAAACTTTGATATCGATAGATCGACAGCAGCCGCGATGCAGGCCAAATCCAGGCGTAAGCCACGGTCTAGTTCGCCCCAGTCGTCCCTATCCAGTGATGGTGATAAGATACGTACCTTGTGCCGTGAAGAGCGATCGGACAAAGCCATGCAAAGTTTGACCCCTTTACGACAACCTCTCTACAAACGTTTCTGGGAGTCGCTGCGTGTGCTCAGCTGCCATGGGAATATGCCACCGCCTCGACCACGCAAGGCTATGTAACTTTTTTTTTTTTTTTTTTTCTTCTTCATTATATCGATACTGATATCCTGTACTTCAACACGGTGGGAAAAAGTCTGGATGGCGTTGGTATATACGGAAATGCTTTCGCGTTCACCCTGCCGACGATGACGATAACTTCGCTTGTTCTGTTCCCTAAATAATGTCTTATGAAGCTGCCTGACGGATCCCAATGGATGGGAGTCTGTGACGAAGAACGCCCGATCACAAGGTGCCATGGTGCCTCTGGATGATTTATGAGCTCGACACGTTGAGCATGAGACCGCAGCTATTATCTGCTAATGCTACAGCTGCTATGAATGATTTAATGTAGTACGATGATGAGGCTATGGGATCTGGATTGTTCCCGCTCTTGAGCTTCGGCTCCTCTCTTTGATTTCCTTGCTTGACTTGACTCTCTCACTTTCTCGGTGATCTTTCCTTCTCGAGTTTTCCTGTCACTCACTCTTTCTCTCGAACTGCGCACGCTCTCTGATAATTTCTTTTGGTCAAATGTTGCTGATGGCTATCACTCTTTACAATCCGCTAATCAACCAACACACTGTGTTTCCTTTTCTTATCCTAACTTCAAGTATCAAACAAACAACAGCTAGATGAAAGTCTAGGACAAAGGCGCGAGCCACCTTACCCAATCTACTTCCAATGAATTATCCATTCAACTTTCCAATTGCTCCAAGTAACACAATGCCCGAGCGTAGATCCTGATCTCCAATGTGGGGTAACAGATCGTACTTTTTTTTTTTTTCCCCTCAGGCAAGCTCCTCTGTTTTGATCTCCACCCCTTGCGTGTGGCGCACCAGACAGCATTTTCACGCCAACCCTATATCCCTTAGCACCGATCATAACCGGCTCGGGAGTCTAGAACCAAGGTCTCGGGCCACTTCGCATTCCCTTGGTATCCTGGTCCTAATGGCTGACTGAAGCCTATAATCGTCGCTCTCCTTCGCCCAGCCCTGTGTCCCTTCGGCTTTGCTAGGGTAACCGGGCTTCGTGTAGAGAATGAATGCTTTATACCTGGGAATGAATCCTTTTTTTTTTTTTTTTTTTTTATCTCTTCGGGATCTGAACTGAAACCAGGATCAAAGTAACCTTATGGCCGTGTAAATCAAGAATCTGGTATCTTGTCGTGTGCTTCCTACTACGTTACGTTCATCATGCTCGCGATGTTACATTGGCATTATTAGTTGAGGATATTTTGAAGTTGGTATACGCAAAACAAACATGATCTATATATCCATTGTATGGCCAGCTGGGTTGGGATTGTCGCATGTTTACTTACGTATGGAATATAGTCAAACACACTGGACTGATTTTTGTTTCTTCAATGTGTCTGTCTGACTGTAGGTAATTCATTCTTCTTGGTGGCACTGAATTGGTGTGGAGAATACCTCTGGTGGTAGGTCGTTGATATGATATAGATGGGTATCTTTCATCGGCTTGTATGTTGTCTTAACACTCAAGTGTACGGTTGCGTGGGACACACAGTAACTTCGTGTTGTAATTTAATTTAATGCTAATGATATATTTCGCTTGTTGTAGTAATTCATAATCGTTTCTGTCTTTCTTTGACCCAAAGTCATAAGTTGCATACAAGGTGTGTCGCATAATCACATTCATTGCGTCTTGCACATCCCATTCATCCTGTGCCTGCCTGACATGAATCATCTAGCAAAAAAAAAAAAAAAAAGGAAAGAAAGAAATTCAAACATAGATCTCCACTGATACCCTCCTATAAACCCACACCGACAATCCCCTAACCGACACAAACCACCCCCAAGCATCATCCATCACTCAATCAAACCACCACGATCACCAGTGCACTACACCCACAATGGGATGATGCAGATGCACCTAAACCAAGTAATTATTCAGGAACCCGGCCCAGTATCCGCAGCGGAAATCCCGAATCCTTGCAGCAGCTTCAGCTTCATCTCTCCACCCTAAGCAAGCCGCAAGGCCGTGAAACCGACGTCCGGCACGCGCAGAACGCAGGAACAAAAGACCCCTGCAGCAGCACGAAACGGGGAGCGAACCCATCCGCGGACCGGGCCAGGGGGAAGTGAATTCAAAAAAAAAAAAATTCCCCTTTCCACCAGCAAGGGGAGGAGGGCCAGAAAAGTACTCGGCAGGTGAGACAAACCTGCCAAGAAATAGGGATTCTGGGTAGAAGGAGAGAGAGAGTATGAGGTAACTGTAAGTTCTGTAAGTCTGGTGATTCCGTGCATCGGGCTCAGCTTTGTTCCTGTTCCTGCTCCTTCTCTTGTGGTCTCGTAGTTGCGGTTGTTGTGGTGGTGTCTTTCATCTCAAGCGTGTCCATGATCTCCTCCCAATGCGCGACTTTCACTTTCTCCTCCCAGGTAGAAATAGCCTTATTTCCAAGTCCCCGGAGTCGCTCCTCCGGTTTCAATTCCTCGGATGTACCATCTAAGCCGGCGAAGACTGCCCTCACATCCAATTCCTTGATAGCAGCCTGGTAGAGCTTGAGAGCCTTCTCTCTCTTCTCCATCCTGCTCTTTACCGCCTCCTCGTTCTCCGTTGAAGATGATGATGAGGCGCCAGCGCCACCACCACTAGCACCGCGCATAGCACCGGGCTTCTTGATAACTGCCGACGAGGCCCGAGATTCGTACCCGCGGATCACACCCTCGAGAATACCTAGGATTGTCCCCGCTCGCATACCTAGTTGGGCGCCGACGGGGAAGCCCGCGTCGAAGCCGGATTGGACGTGTTCGGTTTTCGAGGCGGAGACACCATCGCGATAGCCGGCTGTTACGTGTTGGCGGCGCAGGGAGGGGAGCTCGGAGGGTTCGGGATGGGATGTGGTGGTTGTTTTCGTGTGGGTTGGGATGTCGTCGTGGGGTGGGGAGGAGCCGAAGATGTCGTCTAGGCTGTTGTTGTTGTTGGTGGTGGTGGTGGGGGAGGTCATTGTTCAGTTTGATGGTCTATGTGAAGTTGTGGGTTTGTAGAGGGGCCTAGTGTATTGAATTTATCGTAGAGGGTGCTGTTGGATGTGCGAGTATGTTAGTATGTTGTAGAGTGATTGACGTATTGCAGAGGAAAAATTGGAGAAGAGAAAAATGGAGTTACTAATGGTGGAGGGGCAGTTACAATAGTTATCCTTATCTTATCGCAGTCTTCAGATCAGATCAGATCAGATCAGATCAGATCTATACAAGACAACAACAACATCACTCCATTTTTAAATACTATTTACCCTACCTGCTCTATTTATTAGATACTCTAAAATGGCTGTTGTAATACCGCCTAATGAACAAACCGAAAATCCAACCTCTTAACTCCCTCATCCGTCGTCGTAAGTAGATACTCACTCCTCTCCTCCTCCGACATGGACTCCCACTTCCTCTCCCTCGTTCGATTCCTCCAAACATAATATGCCTTAACCGCATAGAACAAAATCACATTGAATGAACAGATCGCTAGTAAAATCTTATTTCCCCGTCGATATAGCGGACTATCATCCTCCCGAAAGATATTGCTCCCGATGATATTCCCCCCCTGCACGCACATATTGTACAGCGCGGCGCCAACGGCGCGCGTGCGGACGGTATTGCTGATGCGGGCGTTCCAGCCGACGAGGATTGCGTGGCAGTATGGGTAGCTGAGGAGGACTGTGCTGATTGCGTAGCGGATCCAGGTACTAGTTGATTCGGGGAGGGCGACGAGGGCGATCAGGCAGGGAAGTATCCAAATGTTGGAGGTGGAGGCGACGATGGCGCGCTCGTTGAACTTGTCTGAGATGCGGGTGATGATCAGGAGGTTTACAGCGAACATGAATTGGGAGGGGATGGCGAGCAGGTTGGCATGGAAGGTGGAGAAGCCCAGTCGCCGGAGGATGTAGGAGAGATAGTTTGCGTGAGGCTGCGGCGGGATGTAGATGAGGAGGCCAAGGAGGTAGAGGGGCCAGAGGTCAAAGTCTTGAAGGCATTTGACAAGTGCAATTGGGCCAACTGCTTGTCTGTTTTGGTGTCAGAGTGAGTTAGAGACTGGATGATTGCTGAATGGAGCTTTGATGACGGACCTGTTGTTCATGTCGCCTTTAGAGGGATCGTCGCGCAGAAGTCGGTTCACGAGGATAAGTTCTTCACGCTCGCTGAACCAGCCGTCTTTACCTCGAAACCAGCCTTTTGTTTGGCAGGGGCCTGGAGGCATAAGGCCCCAGGACAGGACACCGATAATAGCAGTGACTAGTCCCTCAAGGAGGAATCTGCGTCGGGTATTAGTGCATAATATAGGGAAGTGGAGAGGTGTATTTACAGCCATTGCCATCCGCTCCATCCTCGGACTCCACGCATCTGCAAAATGCCCGCTGCAAGGAGGGATCCGACAATATTGCAGGTACTGCTCGGAGTTAGCATGGTTAAGTCCAATTTATGGAGTCGTGGTTACCTGATCGCCGTCCAAAACCAGCTGAGACGGATGGGAAGTTCTCGCCCTTTCTATGTCGTGTTAATAATAAGTTAATACTAAAGCGAGCTAGGTACTCACATAAAAGTAAGATAGCCACAGCACTATATCACTATAGAGCATATTAGTATGAAGACTCAACGAAAATCATTCACAGACGTACGGTATAAAACCACCCATCAGAAGCCCAAGAAGGGCTCGACAGGCAAAGTAGCCTGCCCTGTTTGTAAGGGCTGCCTGTGCAGCACTTATGGCTGACCAGCATACAATAATGAACGGTATCCATCTATCTGGCCCAACCTTCTTACTGATCAGGCCACTTGGAAGCTCTGCTGCGAGAAAGGATACTAAGAAGATCTGCCATGGTCAGCGACTATTGGCAACTCTTAGTGGGGTGAGGCATACAGTTTGGCCGTAGTTGAAGTCGTTGGTGTTCATTCCTAGTTCAGGGAGCTAGTATTGGTTAGCTAGCAGACTACTGAGCTTGAAGTACATTTTTACTCACCATATCATCCGTGATTGCCCTGTTGATGTTTCTCCGGTTCAGATCCAGGGAGCAGAACATTAACCACGCCCAGAACATAATCCGCAGATCCACCTTTGTAATGTTAAAATTGTACAACAAGAAACGAACACCTTTTAATTAAGAGAAAAGATGTGAAATAAGCCAACCTTTCGGACCAATTTCTTCTCCTCCTCAGGAGTCCAGGTGAAGGAAGGGTCAAAGCGATGACGACCCTCATATTGAGCTTTCTCATACACATTGACCCAATATTCGGCAGCATCTGAATCATCAAAGATATGGTTTCGTGCTCCTTGAAACCCGTCGGAACTCTTAGTTTCAGACTCGTGACTGAAGAAGCCCTTCCCCATTGTATTGGCCAATAGTGGAAACAATGGCAGGTTGGTTATTATTCCAATGCACTAGTACCCAGATATAATGGTAATAACTTCAGTGTCTTCGAGTTTAATTAATATGTCCATGAGTATCAGCCTTTCATTTTATATGTTCGCGATCACAGCTCTGAGATACTTCCCGCGCATGATTGCAACAATCGGCCAAGAATTGTATCATACAGCCAAGCGGCATTATCCATCGGCCAAGACATCGTGATATCCTTTACTTGCACCGTTCCGCAGAGGCTAGACATGTATCTCCAAGTTGTTATCTCTCCTATACGTATGAAAAACAGAGGCCAAGGATTTTGACCTATGGTGAACGTAGTTCCAGTCAATCAACGTACAAGCCGACCAGCTTAAAGTTCACAATCATCGCCAAACCCCTCAGTACAGATCCGATAAAATGACGCTGTAGAAAATGAATCGACTAATATTTCCATTCGTGAGTGTCGTTTCTATTGCCTATTTTATACTAGTGGTCATTTGGCCCGTGAGATACGCGGCGTCTGTCGGTGGAAATCTCCGTGAGCTAGTTACAGCAATCGCGGGTATGACTTTCTCAACTTATACCTCAAAGTACGTTTGGCAGTAGTCTGTCTAGACAGTCGATAGATTTCAATAAATAGAGGAGGCATCACCGAAGTAATTTGTTCGTGCAACAGACAGGAGAATCGTGACAATGTAGCACTAATGCTGACGACTAGGGTTTAGTATAGAACATCCTATAAGCTGCACTCAATTTCTTAGAATATCATGATATATGTAATCAGTGTACATATGTACTATGGATGCATAGGATGTTGATAACATCCTTGTCTGACTACCTAATATCATGAGCTCATTGACGTCAATGTGACCATATGGATGGGGCCTGGACGCGTAGCCTGAGGTGTCTATGCGTTCGAAGAGTTGGAGATGTTTTCAGAGGAATTTTAATACGAATCAGAGAAACATCTTGCACTAACTCAGAGCAATAGATCTGTATCAGTTGTGGCGTGAGAGAATTTAATGTGCCGGGCTTTTCCTTTGTACAGTGCCTCAGACGGGGAGGTAACTTCAACCACCTCTGCCTCATAAACAGGACGATAGAAGTCGAAAAAGACGGAATCGAGATCAAAGTAAAAGGAGAAACCAAATAACAGGATACAAGAAGATAAAAATTCAAAATGGCAAAAAGCTCACCCTCCGTCCCCGGCGCCGAACGCGTTTTTAGCACCGGCGTCATAGGGAGGGCTACGAAAACCCCGAAGGGGTTTTACTACTGGAGTCCTAGGGGCGAGGAATAGCGGATTCGAACCGTTGATCGACTCGAGCCTAGGACTTGGGGGGCCAGACTCAGCGAGGCCTTAGCTTACCGCTCGACTATCTGGCCCCCGGTACTGGTATTGTCGGACACTTAAAACATCTGCTCACTATGATTGCAGGAAGGTGCCTGGAGGAAGAGGCAGCTGCGAGGGGCCTCGTAGGCCAGGCAGTAAAGTAGCATGCCTGGGAAGGACTTTCAGGGTAATCATGATACAAAGCCCGGGGCCCTGCTGAGTGACTATGATGAGGAAGGGGCTAGGGGGCTGTCTGCCTTAAGTAGTATATGTTTGTCTGATATTGACAGGTTTGATACCGTTCACTTGGATCAGCTCCAAGAGCTTCCTGTGAAGCTTATCTGGGACAGACATGGAAGTTTGTCAGCCCACCACAATGCAGCAGGTTTAAAGTACTCGACAGTTGGACTAGCTATTCATGTCAGGTGAGGGGGCACACATGGGAGCATAACATATAAGGCATGAAAGTGTTGAGCTCTATTACAAGTGGGATAAATTGATTGGTTTCTGTTTATACATAATCACTAATTCCAATGCCAGGGAAGCAGAAAGCCTCCGACGACAAGCTGAGTAGAGTATACGCTAACTACAAGACATCGGCTCGATTTGCATACTCGGAAATGCAGCACACGTTCACTAAACAGATATATATGATATTGGCGTTAGCCCTTGCTAGGAGTAACGTAATGTTCATGGTGGGAAGACACATCATAATCGCTAGATCAGCCAATGCCACATCAAATCCGCTATTCAGATGTCTTTCATCGAGCCAGTGGTACTGGTATCAGTCTCTAGGAAGAGCAAGCAGTATAATAGATGGTAGGACAAGAGCGTGTTACTTTTGCTCTCGTCTTTAGGATTCATGAACGCGGGGAAGCATGCCTGGCCATGGTGGCTGTGTATATAATGAAGCGATCTTGGTTTAACAACGAACAGATCTCGATTTTCGGGAGACTCATTGGATCAAAGGTGCTAAATGATTCGGTCCGTACTTCACTGCCTCAATTTCCAACCGCTATCACTCTCGTTTGATACACATTAGCCCTCAATATGAGGAACAATATCGCCAAGGAAAGACGAGTTACTGTCCTGTATCTAACATCGCTATTGGTTTGCTCGTAAAGCGTATCCGCCTCGCGCTAGAGTTGTGTGGGTCTGGGCTTCAGTCATTTGGCCCGGGCCCTTTAGCTCTCCCCGATGATCGTTATCCTTTTGCGCGTTTTCCCACTACGATATGATCAAAGGAAACCACTCTGGTCGTGAACATGCTCCCTAAGTGTCCGGAACTCACAGGATGCAACATTAAATTATCCAAAGTATTTCTGGTGCAAGTCAGAATGTCTCAAGATACAAGCAGCACGCTCCTTTGTTTTTGACTACGGGTGACTGTCAGAAACATGGCTGAAGGCATTGTGGAACCGCCAAAATTTAGCCTCTTGGGTGCTATACATAGTGGAGACAGCGCGCAGTCGGGGTAACAAAATTGGCCGTTTCCAGCCACACATAACCAAGGAACAGAACTGGTCCCTCCATTCGCTACGTAAAAGCTCTAATATACCGCAGCTTACAGCCTGACACTTGACATGAAGAGCGTATGAGAGAGGGTTGACAAGCATCATGTGACGCCCTGGCCCCATGACGGGTCGGGATGACCCGGTGATCGTCTTGTACTGGACTTTTATAGTACGGTGGAGAGATATAATAAATAAAGCTGTGCCCCGGACCTGCCAGCCTCGTCTCTCAAAACATATAAGCAATCGTAGGCCCAGCCTCTAACTGACCGTTGCGTCCTTGCGATCGGATCAAAAATGGCAAGACGATTCCCAACCCGCCTCCTCTTCACACTAGCAACGCCCCCCTTACTAGTGGGCTACGGTACACATATCTGGCTAAACTCGCTGGAAGCACGATACCCCCCTATTGCTCCAGACAGATCCAGCACAGAGCTTCTCCGTACACCAGCCAACTCAACAACTCAACATGTCCCCCACATAGACATCTACGCCGCCCGGATCCGCCTCCGCGACCTACAAGCACGGACCAACACCCCCACAGAAAAACTCACGAAACAAGACCTGAACACTGCCTGGGCACAATCACTATTAAGCTGCAGTGTACTTCGTCTAGAAGCTAAAGTAATCGGACTCTTCCGCAAGGGCAGATGTGACCCAGGCGATCTCGGTACCACTCCGACAGGGTTCAGCCCTGATCCAGAAACGGGAGCGCCGCGCGAGCTTCTGAATGGAGCTATGACTGTTATTCGACCGCCGGTGGGAGACGAGCCTTTGCTAGTGAAGTGGGGGATTCCGGATGAGCCCAGGCGGTTCTTTGAGATGATTGCTCTTTGGGGGTATCCGTGGCGCTTGATGACGGGCGGACGGCATGAGATGAGTGTTGAAGGGCCGTTTGACGGCGAAGGGGATGAGGAGGGTCTAGGGCCGTTTGTGGAGGTGCGTTTCGCTTCAGCGCACACGTATGAGATTGTACCCGAGGAGGGAGGTATTTCACAGCAGAAGACTATTCCGAAGTGGGTTGGAAGGTTGCATCGTGGGTATGCGAGGTTTTTGTTGGATACTGCTGTGAAGGAGCTGGTGGAGGGGACGGAATGATGGGTTCAATTGAGTGGGTTTGACAACTCTTGATATGACCCTACGATTTGTGTGTATGCTACTTTGTATCTTTATGTGATGTATTTGAGCGTATAGAAGTTAGATTTCGGTATGAACGTCATAGAAATGCGCGCGCTGGCAGGCGGTTGCCCTCAGAATTGCATTGGGACTGGCATCCCACTGTAGTCTGTAAACCACCGTTGACAAGTAATCATCCATTGCATAAAGGGTAGAGTCTGCTTGTTCAGTCTCCTGTACTGAGAGGCATAGTATCATACATAACATAGTTAACGGACAAGTGTCTCCTGCTTCTTGCGCTCTCTGGAACTGTTAAGCGTGTCCTGTGACTGCTAGAGCTGAATTATATTCAATGCATCAGGATAGAAACAGGTGACATAATTTTAAACGGCCTTGGATGCACTGAAAGCCATAGTGATGCGCTTTGTGAAGGTTATCACAGTACATCAATTCTGGCATGGTAATAATTAGTGACCTTGACAGCGAATAGTACATGCGATTTTTAAATGCAGCTTGCGCCCTGGTAGATCGAATATTCCCAGAACAGAACCCTGGATGGTGAAGGTCCCATTGAAAGGAATAATCTTCTTGTATGGCTATTCCCCCTAACTGATTCACTATTCGAATATTCATGTGGGCATCGAGTCGCATGGAAAGGCCCATTCATAGCGCTAAGTCAGTTATGTAAACATAAGGTATAAATACCCTCACTTCCCCAGAGAGAATATCGCTCTCTCCATTCCTAATATGTGTGCAAATTCAACCACGAACTTGCTTTCCTTCTGCAGAGATACTCTATGAGAGCATTCCAACTCCGTTCAGATTATCAACTTTGAACTATACGAGTCTACAACACTGTACTCGTCCGTCATTTCTTCGTTGACATGAAAATACCGACCAGGCCTTGCAGCATCCGCGCGTTTTATGCATTACCAGGATTACCAAGGTAGTCAAAGTCTACATCAAATGGTGAGACCGTTACGCAAAAGCCAGGAATCAATCATCCTCAGCTCTGCAGCCGATACTCACACCAAATACCCTGCCCTACGCTATGAGTATAGGTTTTATAGTTGGCACAGAATATTACGGATCAAGAAATAAACATACGCACGAGATTGGTGCTAAAGTACGCGTACTTATATCCACCATGACTCGCAACCATAAAATTTCTATGGACATTGGATGCAGTATGATTCGACAAGCCTGATAGTCGGGTACAAGCACTTCCTAATGTACTCCTGGGACCTCTCAGGAACCTCTCCAATCGTTAACCAGAGCTAAGTACGCGCTTTTCTTTTTCAAACACACACACACACGGCACACACACACAGAGAGATGCATAAGGAAGCGTTCTATAAAGTGCGGGAAAATTTTGGAGGCTTTCTGTAACTGGATCATGTAAAGACAACCGTAGAGGGATTGTTTAATTCCTACTCTTGTACTGCAGTGTCGCTCGGAACACAATTAAGATTTTGTGCATGGTTGGGCCATGTACATTGGACTCCCCAATTACAATGCTTTTATGGTCAAATTCAAATCTCAGCTATACGAGAAAGTTAAATGAGTATATATCAAATACTCTACTGGCCGCTACGGCCAAGGGGAACGGAATACAAAAGAATGTTCCAATCTGAGACGCCTCTTTGGTATGTACAAACATGAGTGAGACATATATGGCAATCTCACTGACTTGTGCAACAAGGTCAACCCATCGGATACATGTTCACCGCGAAGCTGAAGTACGGATTTATACCATACCCACATATGGGAGGACAATTTTCTTGAAACAAAGAGATGATAGGTTTGGAGGTAAACAATACCCGCCGTCCGTCTACCTCGACGATTCAGATCAATATGGACCCGTCTGAGTGGGATCGGCTGATAATTCTACTTGGTTTGACCGAGTCTCGTTTGTCTCTTACCCGATCACCGTCAAGCTTGTTCATTTCATCAACAAGCTAGACAAGAGGCCTCTTCCCCAATCTTTGCTCAGATATACAGGTTTCGATGGAAGGAGACTCCAGTCTCGAGCTCTATATCGCCTAGCAGCCAGATACCTATATTTCCGTTCCTGCCTGCAAGTCCTGTGCCGGGCATGGCAGCACAACGAAGATGAAGAAGCGTACGTATTTCTTCGCTGCAAAATAGGGAAGTCCTTTCTGGGGGACTCCCGGGCGCCATATACCCAGAAATATGCTGTTAGCTTTTGTGGAAGAGCTCGGACATGGGTATGAGGGCGTCTCTTCAAACATAGTAAGAATGATATTCTTCAAGTCGCACCCCACCTTCTTAGGGTAGCCGAATGAGGAGCTGGATCTTTATCTCAAGGCGTGCCTGTTCTCGTGGGTCTATATTCCCTGACTTGCTGTGCTTTATTCTGCTGGGCTACAACTAGCTCGCCAAGAGGTTATGAGCCCGGGACTGGCTCATCCTGATCACTAGGAACGCAAGGCCGGGTGATCACGTTTTAACCAAAAACAGCAATGACAGATAGGAGTAATTAAGATCTTATAGACGAGCCAAGGTGGCGGGCGACCGAGGTAGGACTTTTCTACCCAAATGCACCTGCAACCTGGGGCTTTGGAGAAGTCTTCGACCACGATAACACCATATACTAACGCACCGCCCCTTTGTTCACGAAACGACTCAAGGTATTGGCCGAGATACATTCAGTACGACAGATTAGCAGGCATATCGAGATATATTTTCGCGATGACTTGGTATAATACTGAACTAATTGATCTGGTCTGACAGGGCCTGGTACACGCGATGATAATTATTGAATAGCGCGAAGCACTCGAGGAGTGTTTCAAGATACTGTATAGCCAAGAAAAGGTACATTTGGACAACATAAAGTATAGTATTACCGACATATATAATCGTGTTTCCGCTTCGTCTTATATCAATACTATATCGTCGCTGGCACACTAACACAGTAAGGGTCAAGAAGAGTTCCCAATAGTTATCCGTGCATGGGGAAACCTGGACCACCGCTTACGCCGAAACATCGATGAGCCTGATAAAGGCACAACCCTGGCAATGTTTATCGATGAGCCCGGGACTGGCTCATCCCGATCACAAGGATCGCAAGGCCTGGTGATCACGTCTTAACCAAAAGTAGCGATGACAAATAGGAGTATTTAAGATCTTACTCCCTCGCAGTTATTGCCATCTCAATCACCGGCTCTGTTGGAACTGTCATCGAGCGGTCAACCGGATGCAACACAAAATATGGTGTACCTGGTATTATTCCTCAACCTCATGGCACTGAGCCTTGTGAACGAAAGTAGAGTTCGGAGTTAGTGAGACTATTCATGCGCGCTGGAGTCGTCACAGAATTTCATTTCAGAGTATAAATCTCTAGAGAGCAACGAGCTGAACAACATACTGGCGGACGCGGCTCCCCTACTTGGAGACGCTCCATCTTGGTTGGAGCGGCCCAGCCAACCACTGAGCAGCATCCTTTATTCCAACGAAGACATCGGTCATAAACGTCCCCAATATGAATTATGATAAGTCACTACAGGATGCCAGACTGAGACACCGAACACAGCCTGTGTACAGCCTCTTGGTCGTCTGATGCTATAGGGTAGCCTAAGGCCTTCAGTTTGACGTCTGTTGTAGGGAGGGCCGAGTTTGTCTTTCTAAACGACAAGCTGGACGCCCCGTTGGATCATGAGCTTTCCCAATAGGATTGCAAAAGTATTGCACAAGAAAAGGGTCAGGTGTTGGAGATCTGGACAGTCCAAGCCTGACATATGTATAGCGAATGAATCTAGTCATAGGGGAGGTCTATTTACTCAGTATAACACAATCTCAGGCAACAAAGTCGCTTGAGATAGCCTCCACGAAGGTTGATTGCGTTGTGAACAGACCCTTAAACACTGTACGTACTAGGAAGCATCGTAATGGCAAAATGCAAGGTGTGAGAAACAAGACTGGATTTACCGGTTCCGTTCTGCATCGTCACAGTCTCCTGGCTACGACTCTCTAAGCATGAGAAAGATGGAGATTAAACCTACATACCTCAAAAGAGAGACGTAGTAACTTGAAGAGACTAGTATCTCATATTCATACCTCACTCATTATCAGTTACAGGCAATATCCCCATCTCTAGATGTAATTCAGGCTTATAACACATAGCACATAGCAACACACCTCAAACCCATCAACCACGGCCCACTCATCCACACATTACCTACCCCCCTTCAGATCACCTCAAGACCAAGAAAAACAAGAGTATATAAAAGCAAGAAAAACAAATCAATCACACCCCTCCCCCTTAGCCACAGCCCTCCACCCTCTCCACCCCTCATACTTAACACAAACCCCCCACCCATCCCGAATCTCCCCAACCAACTCCCCAGAATCACAATCTCCATCTGCATACATACAGAGATCAAACTGCGGCTCAGACGGACTCTTCCACGAAACCGTGTCCACAATACTCAGATTCAGACCCCGGACGGTCGTCAAATTCACACATGATCGCTCCGATACGCCCTGCGCATGGTATACGCTGATGTCGAAGTTGGAGCCGCTGGGTTGGCAGCCTGGTTTGAGGAGGCGGAGGTCCCACTTCATTTAATTTTGGTCAAGGTTATATGTTAGTTTCAAGAATGGTACTTTGGAGATCGTGATTGATTATGGTTGGGACTGGGGGGAGTTACGTTTCGGGGTCTCAGGGTGTCGGCTGTTGTTGCTGTTCCTAGGGTTCCTAGGGTTGCTAGGAGGGTGAGGGTTGGTACTAGGTGCATATTTTTGGTGGTTTTGGTTCGGGGTGTTGAGTTTGGAGGGGGTTGGGTAGAATTGAAGATCTAGAACAATGTGGCTATGGGTTGGAACTTATTTATAGGTGGAATGGAGGTGCTCTTTCCTTTTCTTTTTTAATTTTTTTTTTTAATCCACCTGACTCGAAGCTGAGTTCTGGATTGCCAGGAACCCGAACTCACTAATGCGGGCACCCGAAACACGGCAAATGGCAAAACTCCGGGGCACTTCCACCGGGCCGGCCATTGGTTCGGGGGTTGTGATGAACTTTTAGTAGGAAAGTGAGGATACATGGCTGATGCAACCCTCATTTCTTGGTCTGCAGGGATCTTGGTCCACAATGGTCTGTATTTGGACGGTTCTATTAATACATCGAATGTGCAAGTATTTTGTAAAGAATACAGTCCGTGTCCATCTATGGTAAACCCCGGTCCCGTTTATCGCTTTTCTCTATTTTGACCGTCTACTGCCTGCTGTTCGGGGATAACCGCCACGCCCGCAGGGGAAGTCCCTGCAGCTTCAGCACAGCCGGTCGGATAAACATAAAAAAGGTGACGGTGCCAATCAGCACACATATAATGTTCGTCGTGTAATACCCATCCCGGAGGGTGTGACAGGAGCCGCCGCCATTTGTGCAACGGTTCTTATCGGGTTCCAAGGCGCAGGAGAAAGGCGAGGTGACCAGTTCACCCTTCAACTGGTCCGCCGCGGGAGGGACGCTGGGAGGGGTACACGTCGCCTCGGTGAACATGTCCACCAGCTTCAGGATGAAGTAACGTGGAAATGTGCCACCCAGGTTGGAGACACTGCGCGAGTCAGTTTACAGTTACAGCAGTTTTATATTGTGGAAAGGGGCAAGAAAAGGAAAAGGTAAAAAAAAAAAAAGAAGAAGAAGAGACTCACGTTGCCAGCAGCGTCATGTAAGTCCCTCCAATCGCTGGATCGGAGATGCGTGCATGGAATGCAGACACAGCGACGAACATGACCGTGTTCATAAACGTTGACAACACATGCTCCCCAATCACCGTCAACATATACCAAAACGGCACTTCGGATCCCGACGGGTAAATCATAACAGTGAACTGCGCCAGAACAGCCGCCGCCAGTCGTCCCATAAACGCCCAACACCATAGGCGCATGGGAGTATACTCGGTTGACCATTTGCCAGCATAGTAGCCCAAGCCAATCTCGAATGGAAAGTCAATCAGCACGACCAATGCCATATTGTCTTGCCCAAAGCCCTTATCCAATAACTTCAAACTGGTTACGCCGTCGTTGGCCTGGAATCCGATCTTGGCGATCAGGTGGACCAAGATGATCGTCTGAACGTTCTTGAGTTTGAGCACGCTCCACATGCTCTTATATACATCCGAGATACTGTCCCGATCATGGGTTTTGTCTTCCTTCTTCATAACAGCCAAACATATCGTCACGACCAGGTACGCCCAGCCCCAGAACGTCAGATACGTTCCCAGGGAGAGCAGGCCGCCCTCTCCGGGAGCGGACCGGAACCAGCGATTGGCGAAATCCTGCGAGTTGAATGCCAGGAATACCGTGTACGACAAGAAATGACCCGCTGTCAAACCGACCGTCTGTGCGGTCGAGGCATAGGAGATGTTTGGCGGGGACATGAGAGTAATGGCCCAACCGTCCACCGCAATGTCCTGTGTGGCGCAGAAAAACACCAGCAGGAACCACCAGTATGTAAAGTTCCAGACCCCAGCACCGCCGTTAGCGCCCGCCTGCACCATCATATCACCAATGCGCCCGCCCAAATAAATCATGGCCAATCCGGCAATCACCTGGATCGGGGTGATCCAGCTCTTGCGGCGACCAAACCTCCGACTCCAGACCGCGTCCACAATGGGGCTCCAGAGTAGTTTGAGCGAATAGGGGTATGAAGCGAGAGAGAAGACACCGATCTGGCCGTAGGACAAGTAGGGCTTGAGGAGGAACGGAACCGATCCCGAGGCTAACCCCATGGGCACTCCCTGGAGGAAATATAATACGCACAATAGCAAGAAGTTTCTTTTATCGCTTGGCGGGAGGTTCGAGAAACTCGTCGTGGTTAATCCCGGTGTTTGCGGGGTGACCGGGGGGTCGTGGTCTAGGGAAAAGCTGGGGCGGGACATGATGCGGGAGGCTCGTACGGACGACGTCGATTCGATAGAGGTATCCCTCTTGCGCATTTCAATGTTGGAATTCATTCCGTCTCTCGCATGGCCGTTCTGGCCGGTCGCGACTCTCAGGGTCGGCTTGGAGCGACGTTTGGACACTGTACGGTCCTTGCGCTTCATCGGTAGTTCCGTTTGCAACGGGACAGTATGGAGTCGCGTCGCGCGTCGTTTGTTGGGATCAGAGAGAGGCTGAAGAGTAAAATATCAAAGATTTATGGAACGTCAGATACGGGTTCGTGGGTGGCCCCTGGTCAATTCTGCATACTAGTCGATCGATCGCTTAGCTTAAACTCTTCGGGTTGGTCGGTCCCAGGATGACGTGGGGAGGTGACAGGAAAGACAGAATTGAAGAAGAAGAAAAAGAGGAGCAGAGATACAGGGTCAAACGAGAGTATGGAGTGAATTTGTAATTGGAAAGGACCCAAGGGATAGGAGTTCGACTGGTGTGGTTCCTCCGATACCCGTGGAGGCGAAGTAAAGCAACTAAAGCAAAGGAAAGTCAAAGGTGTCCTCAACGATAACTCGTTTTCAGGGTCAGTCACTCATTCATTAACCATTTATGGAAAGTCTGGTTTCCCCGGCTGACCCACTCGATCTGCAGGCTCCCATTGGCCCGAGCTTCTCTGCAGAAAAGGACATCGGCACTGACACCTCAGTCACCCAACGATCTAATCGCTGCCTTTACACTTTTACACGTTCTACGTTCGATGTACTTCATGGTGATTATCTTCATATTCATTATTTGGTTTACTCATAGTGTAGTTGATTCACCATTCTCTCGGCCAGTCCTCAACAAGAGATTCGTCACCAATTCATGCCCATTCACCACAGCCTGAAACAATGGTGTCCGGCCCAGGAGGTCCTTGGAGTCGACATCCACTTGTCCACTTTCAAGCAGCAGCTTGACGACTGCCGCGTGACCATTCCTTGCCGCCCAGGCGAGTGGCGATGAGCCTTCGTGGTCTCTTGAGTCCATGTTAATCTGTCTGGTTTCTAGCAATAGCCGTACCACTGTCTCATGCCCATTCTCTGCAGCCCAGGAGAGTGGTGTTCGGCCAGAATCGTCTTTAGTATCCACATCAGCCTCTCCAGTGTCAACCAACAGTTTGACTAAGAAGTCATGTCCATTTTCTGTAGCTCGGGATAGCGGCGTTCTGCCAGCATCAGAATCTTTTGAATTCACTTCAGCCTGTCCAGTTCCCAGTAACAGGCTGACCACCGTCTCATGTCCAAACTCCGCAGCCCAACCAAGTGCTGTTGACCCGGTGACATCTTTTGCGTTTACATCGGCTTTACCGGTGTCAAGGAGGACCTTCACTACCTCCACATCCCCTGATTGTGCGGCCAATATTAGTGGGGTTAGAAACAGATTATCGCTTGAATTCACATCAACTAGCCCGGATTCGAGTAAGCGTTTGACCACACCGGCATGTCCATTATCTGCAGCCCAGCCTAGCGGGTCCCGACCCAGCTCGTAATCTATGGCGTTTAGGTCAACCTGTCCGGTTTCAAGTAAAAGGTGAACCACCTCCTCGTGCCCGTGCATCGCGGCGATGGATAATGCAGTTAAGCCTGCATGATCGCATGCGTCCGGGAGAGCGCCCTCTCGGATGCTAATCCGTGCAGTATCTTCCACTCCGTGCGTCGCAGCCCATACTAGCGCTGAGCTGTCTGAGTTCCATGCATCAAACCGATACAAGTATGGGTTGATGACAGCGTGAAACACACGGTTGACTTGAGATAGAGCATTGATATCCTTCTCCGTCTCAAGAAATTCGGCAACTGACAACAGAAGCTCACACGGCAAGCGCAGCAGCGACATTGGTGGTTGTGTTAGAGACTTAAAGGTAGGAAGCGGAAGCGATGGTGGTACGGGCGTTCTAGGATACACGGTGGGCGACATCCAAACTCGATACTAGCTTCAAGAGGGGCAGAGACTGACGAGGGGATGCCAAGGTTGCTCGATCTCGATATGACCGGTCTCAATGCTTTCGCAAAGTAGGCCGAGTCTTTTTGAAATATTGGCAGGAAAGCGCCGTGACCACCCGCTTAATGTCCTGCTTCTTATACCCCTCGTCTGTCTTCCGTTGTTTCTACCTACTACCTCGCGAATTCAGTAATATACGACTAATAAATTACTGAATCGATTGACTAGCGTGCCGTGACCTCAATGAGGAGAGGGTCGAATCCAACCTTCATCACCGCTTCGAACGGGCCAGAACTCGCTCTGATTGGTCAACGGGGGCTATAAAGTCGGTATACCGTCGTTGGTTCATTGTCTTTAAGACACGCAATACTAAAAGCGGAGACTAAGACGCCGTCGATTCTTCTTTTGAACTAGTTTCATGGGTCCGGTCTGGTACCGAGGCAAGGATGAAGCATCAGGCCTTACCTACTACGGTAATTCAGTTGTTTCTCCAGTAGCTTTCACGGATCCTTCCATGGTCATGGTAGAGGAATTACGGAGTATTCAACCTCTACAGTTCCTAGTAATGCCTCCATTAGCAGTAAAGCCTTTTGATATACCATGAGATAATTAATCACTACGCCTATACTTCCCAAATCCATGGGGAAAGCCCAATCCCTACCATCATAATTTTTATCGTATAACCTCCTCTTCTATTTCATATCCCTTCTAGATCTTCACACTTACTCTTGGATAATAACACAAGCAAGGAAGTCTCGATTGCTTGCCCGAAGGTCTGAAGAACTATAGAGAGAAGGACAGTTTATACCTGTAAACTGATCACATGATTGAGCTGCGCTCATGTCCAATGCCTTTTGAACGGGTTCGATTGTCGCCCACCATCCCCTCCCGTACGCCCGCTACTTCCCACCAGACAATGTAAGAAAGTGTCACTTGAAGATGTTGATCCTTAAGAAATCCTTTTGGGGGGTATGTATGGTTTTCTCCTCCGATGATTCGGTCGTATTTCATGTTGTCGTCGGGGACCAGGCCTGTGTTATGGAGGTGACAAGTTGAATGGCTATACTCAACATTTTGCACACTTACTCTACAGTGTCGTTGAAGGGGTCCCCGGCAATATTATGAGCTGAGAAATCGTGAATTGGATATTCACATTCTTGAATTTACAGCTTGGAGAACTTCACCGAGAAGGACTCGACGCTCTAGTTGGAGGTGTTCAGGGGATGCATGAATCGTTAATACGACATGGGGATTCGAACTCTAGAAATACGATGGTTGTCAAAGACGACCGTCAAGTCTAAGCCAGGGTCGTTTGGATCGTCGGTTATCGCGCAGTAGCCTACGACAAAGACGATCCAAACTTACTGGCAGACAAAGACGTCTTATAAAGAAAGAAGCGGGAATGGTAACTGAATTCAGGGATTGCCTTGTAAGTGTGTTTAGTGTAGCCGTTTTACAGGGACTAATGGCGTACTACAGCAAGCTGATCGTCTGAATGGGAAGCTCGAGAAAGCATACCTCTTAATTCTACATGACTAGCTTATCTGCTCGATGACTATAATCACAATCCGTGGTCACACGGCGCACCAGTCAAATATCGTCTGAAATCTGTCTTCATTCAAAATCTACATAGCTGGATTTCTGGCATGTCAGCATTGACGTGCGTTACATTCTCCGAGTTTGTGGGACCGATGTGGGCAGTAAGTATACTCTAAACTTTTGGGATTCTATCTTAAAGGCCATGCTAATAAGGAGGTTTGGCTGATACTTCGCTAGACCTAGTGAGATATCCAGATTTTGACTGTCATCCTGGATATTTTCCCCATCAACGAGGGCAAATCAGTGCGAAGATCCATTTTATTTATATTCAGCAAACCCAACTCAGACTTTGCACGGCTCACTAGAAAGCATACTCTCTGCCATATGATACGCTTCAACTTTCTTTTCTTTCTTTTTGAATTTCTCGAAACGAATGTTGATAGGCCCCAAAAAATAGTATACTCACCCACCCCTCTCTCATCACAAGGACCCGCGGTCCGCGGAAGCCATTACTCCACCCCAGCCAAGACGCAAGGAAGGGTCCAAGGCCACTCTAGAAGCGTTAAGCACACTAGAGTGTCTTAGCGCAAGGAACCGCCCTTTAGCGGCTTGTCCAGGCAACCCCCATAAAATGGCATTGTCCACTTCCGTTGATTCCCTCAATATTGCAACCTAATTTACAACCCTATTCATAGAGTGAAACCGGGAAAATCGAAAATGTCACCCGCATTACCAGGGAAAACCGATTACACACGATGGCGACTATTGAACGAGGACGGCCGACACACATGGCACTACCTGGAAGATGACGAGTCTGTGCGAAAATGGCCCCAGACGGTAGCCGATAAATACTATCTTGGACTACCACTGGTGTGTATCTACCTAGTAGCCATATACTCAGTAGTATTCAGCTAACGCACCATAGAACCTCCCTGATCTCCCACAGCCAAAGTCCCCCTTAGAAACAGTCCAGAATGGCCTTACATTCTTCTCTAAGCTGCAACTCTCCGCTGGAAACTGGGGCTGTGAGTACGGTGGCCCGATGTTCCTGATCCCCTGCATCGTCTTCGCCTGGACCGCAACGGCAACCCCGATCCCCTGGTCCTATGCTACGGAGATCAAGAATTATCTCTTTGCGCGGGCCAACCCAGTCGACGGGGGCTGGGGCCTGCACACTGAGGGCGAAAGCACCGTGTTTGGCACGAGCCTAAACTACACCGTCCTCCGCCTGCTCGGCGTCCCCGCCGACCACGAGGTAATGATTAAGGCCCGCACCCTGCTGCACAAGCACGGCGGCGCCATGTACGCACCCCACTGGGCCAAGTTTTGGCTGGCGCTACTCGGCATCGCAGACTGGGATATCGTCAACCCTATCCCGCCTGAGACATGGTTATTGCCCGACTGGGTGCCTGTCGCACCGTGGCGGTGGTGGATACATATGCGGCAGGTGTTTCTGCCAATGTCATTCATTTGGTCGAGACGGTGGACTATGCCTGAGACAGAGGTGATCCGGTCATTACGAAATGAGTTGTTCACTCAGGATTGGGGGAGTATTGATTGGAAGGGGAATCGAAACTCCATTGCCAAGATTGACAACTATCATCCGAAGACATGGGTACTCGGTTCTGTGAACTGGTGGTTGAGCGAGGTATGGATGCCTTTTTTGAGGCCGCGGTTTGTGGCTACCTGGGCTGAGGAGTGGGTGAGTAAACTGGTGGACATGGAGGATGAAAACTCAGATTACGCTGATTTGGCATCTGTGAATGGGCCGTTGAACATGGTGGTTTGTTTCATAAGGGATGGTGGTGATGCGTACTCCGTCAGGAGACATCGGGAGCGGTTGGAGGACTTCCTATGGGTTAATAAGGAGGGGATGCTAGTGAATGGGACGAATGGGGTGCAGTGTTGGGATACAGCGTTTCTGGTGCAAGCTGTCCAAGCCGCTGGTTTGGCGGAGAGTGAGGAGTGGAGGCCTATGTTGGTGCGGGCGTTGGAGTTCCTGGACCGCCAGCAGATGAGGGAGAATTGTCAGGATCAGGAACTTTGTTATCGCCATCCGCGGAAGGGGGCTTGGGGGTTCAGCAATAAGGATCAAGGATATGCTGTGTGCGATTGTATCTCGGAAGCCTTGAAGTCAGTGATTCTTCTTCAAAAAACCCCAGGATACCCGCAGCTGCTTGAGGACCGGAGAATTTTTGATGCGGTTGACACGTTGCTCACTTATCAGAACCCCTCTGGTGGGTGCTCATCTTATGAGCAGACTAGAGGTGGGGAATACCTGGAAATTTTCAATGCTGCAGAGGTGTTTGGACGGATCATGGTCGAGTATGATTATCCAGAGTGCACGACTGCCGTGGTCACGGCATTGACATTGTTCAAGAAGCACTGGCCGGATTACCGATCGAAGGCAATCGAGGTCTTCATCCAGCGAGCGCTGGGGTATATCAAGAAAGCACAGTTCCCTGACGGAAGCTGGTATGGAAGCTGGGCTGTCTGCTTCACATATGGCACTATGTTCGCCCTGGAAAGTCTGGCATCAGTAGGAGAAAAATACCAAAATAGCGAGTACGTCAAGAAGGCATGTCACTTTCTACTATCCAAGCAGAGAGACGACGGTGGATGGTCTGAAAGCTGCGAGGTAAGTCACCTCCTTCAAATTATTAATGGTCAGGTATTAACAGGGTGATAGGGCTGTCGACAAATCAAGTACATCGAGCACCCAAGCGGCTCTCAAGTCGTGCAAACGGCATATGCGGTCATCGGTTTACTCTCGGCTGAGTATCCGGACATGAAACCTATAGAGAAAGCTGTACGACTGATAATGGCGAGACAACAGCCCAATGGTGAGTGGCCGCAGGAGGCCATCGAGGGCATGTTTAATAAGACATGTGCCATCTCCTACCCTAATTACAAGTTTACGTTTACAATGCTGGCGTTGGGGAAGTTTGCTCAGATGTATCCTGACTACAGACTTGATTGATTCTTGAGACTATATTATCCTAATTCTGTACTTGCTTTCACTTTCTACGCGGCCATGAGTTACCATATCTACTTCACATGTTCTACATTTCTGTTGAACCTCAATTTGACTAGAAGTAGTATATAACATGATATGTATATACCACATGAACATTAGACGAACGAGAAAACAAACTATATGTAAACTCATTCCGGAAATTACTCTAACAAACTCTACATCTCTCAGGAATTCTCACACCATCTTTACAAACGTCATTCCAGAAAAGACAGGATATCACAAACCCCAGCCTACTTCCCGTCCAAGACACAAACCTCGCCAACACCAAGCCAAGCCAGACTTACTACCAAGTCAAGTAACAATCCAGAACAACCAACCCGCCGCTGATCTACGTGTGAAACAACCCAACCGGAAGTATCTGCCGCTGACATCATACGCATCTCCACGACCCTTGGACCATCATCTCGAGATACCATGGTCAAGCAGCATGATGGTATCAGCGGCGGCATCTTACTTTTATTTCTAGTTTAAAGTAAACTCTCTTCATTAAGCTATGGATATGACGTTGTAGGGAGTGTTCTGGACTCCCCCCGATGATATCATAAGGTAAAGTTAGGAAGCATTAATGTTGATTTTCTGGGCTGGGTGGTTTGCGGCCGTATACTACTACCCTATGCTTCGTTAGTAGGAGTGTTTTGTCAGTTTGGGTGGTTAGGGCTATCGTAGAATAGGGTAAGAGATTGGGTTAAAGAAGGGAAAGGGGAAGGTAGTATACACGTACTTCTCCTGATAAGCATGAATACTCGGATCCCGTAGTCCCTGGCGCATGCGCGCGAGGTATACCTCTACTTCCTGACGAGTCCACTATATGCATCATATTAGCAACATATTAGCATCGCATGGATCCTAATGTTGACCCACACCTCGCAACAACAAATAACAACTACATATAACAGACACAAAGTACACCAGGAGAGTTAAAAGAAAAGAAAAAAACAGACTTACATTCAAAAAGTTCGTCAAGAGCATCATACTCCACCCCTCAATCCCCATCTCCCACTGCAACCGATTATATTTACCCAACACCTTCAGACGGGGATCCTTCGCCCACGGCCCGACTGGACACTTGAAGCGGTGCTCCCGTACGTCTACAAACCCGGCCTTGATCATTTTCTCTTTCGCTTCGTCCACGATGCGTAAAGTTTTCCCGAATGCGTCGCCTGCTTGGAGTGAGACTCTGCCCCATTCTTCGAAGATGGTGTTATTTGTGCTGCCGTCATCGGATTTAGGGACTACCGAAACTTCGACTTGTTCTAGATAGCTGTTTGGTTTTAGGTGGCTTTTCGATTTTGGTTTTGGGTTAGTTAGGTAGATAGGGTCACTGGGGAGGAGGAAAGGAGGGAGGGGCGTACTTGAGAGCTTCTTTGTAGAATTTATCCCAGTCTGCTACGCACCCGTACAGACCGCGGACGTGGATGAAGTCGAAGCTGTTTTTGCCGTAGACCCAGTCGTCGCAGCAGTCGTCGACTTCAAAATGGAGGTTTGGTGGGATCCAGGTTGGTTGGATGGGGGAAAGATCTGTTCCGATTACTCTTGCAGTAGGGTGTGTGTCTGCAAAGTCACTGTGGTGATCGTTAATACGATTTTAGTTGAGTGTGGGAGGTGGGACGGACATAGCCCATACGCCGGTTCCTGTGCCGATGTCGAGGACTTGCTGTGTTTGGGTAAGTTAGTTAGTTGGAGTTGGATAAGGAAGTGAGTTTGGATTGTGAAGTGTGGTGCGCTTACTTCGACGTCCTCTGGGATCGGTGCGAGATAAAGATTTCCGTCTAGGAGGAGGTTGAAGACGTGATGGCTGGGTTTGCTTAGTTGGTTGATGTGGATTGGAGATGGGCTGTTTACCCTATATCTAGTTGTTCCATAGCTTTTTCGTCGTTGGGGCCCCTTTAGGATATCAGTTAATATAACTTAGTATGGCGTAGAAGGTAGTTCTGTACCAATATGCTCCCGCATGATAGGCGTGGTATCGTCGTCCATTGTCATAGTGATAGTTCATGATACTGCTGCGTAGCGAAGTATAATCTCTTGAAGATAGTCGTTGTCAGGTTTCCAATTTCCTAGAGACAGCCCAGGAAGACAGATAGTAAGAAAAAGCACTGAATGGAACGACTCACGACTGCGCACTCTCCCCATACCCCGACTCAGCATCCTGCCGAATATCCAGATCATCAGCCAAAATTAACCCAGCAAGATGGAGGCAACCACCGATAAAACATACAGTATCAACCTCCACAACATCAAGATCAGTATCCCGCGACATCACGAAAACCGTCAGCAAGCGCACAATTTCGGAGGATGTCCGCACCACCCCCTTCACCCGACGGGACCCCAGATATTAATATCTAGTGGTTACGGACAAACACCCATGTCAGTACTCTTTCGTCTCGTCACGTAATCTACTATAGCATTGCATTATTGGTCGGACTCTGCGCCGTTAGACATGGGGGCCATGCATGGAGGAGCTAGTCCTGCATAGTCTCGGAAGCCCTAACGGTCGACTCCACTGAGCATCACTAACGTTCCGACGCTAGTCTCCTGCGTCATTGTTAAAAGAGACTTTCTAGTGTCGGACGGGATTGGTGTATTCGTATTACATGGCGCTTTTGATGTAACATTGTTTGAATGATGTGGCTTTCTGGGCCTCGATTGTTTGGGGAGATGGCTTTGGGGTTGTGTTGTATGTACAGGATGAGTCGGGGTTTATCGGGTGAGAGCCCCGGGGGTGCGAAGTTTCCTTACGGCGATAAATCGAAGGATAGATGTATAGCATTTGCTCTGTCCCTCGGGAGCTTATGAGTATGTCATGCCTTTGTCCAGTCCTGCGTGTCTCACACTGCGATATTATTACCGATATAGGTATCTCCACATGGGACGATGTTGCTGTTCCTTAAGAGCAACTATTTTTGGCTTTCGGTTCACATGACTGGTATTGCTTGAAAGATCATAGGCGGCACTATATCAGGGGAATGAGACCAATTTCCCACAGAGATCTTATAGTATGTCGTGATATCATGTCCATTAACCCACCACCGTCTTTGTATACGAGTAGCATCACGTGATCATAACAAAATAAACAAACACAACCAACCGAAGGCAGCGTTTCCCCATCCCCATAACCATGTCGCAACTCTCCGCATTCCCAACTTTATCTCTTGCCCGCCATACCAGTATCCAAAATGGACACTACAGAACCCCCAAAGGAAACAGAGGAGGAGCTGGACTCCGAAATAGCCAACATCCGCGCCGAAAGTACGACTCCACCCCCTAAGTACCGTCGCAAAACTAACGCTAGTAAAAACAGTCCGCAATCTACAACGCAAGCGCCGTTTCTTAGCCTCCAGTCTACTCTCTTCGGATAGCTTCCAGAAACGTCTCCGAGAATATCAATCTTCAAGGCCTTCTTCATCCCTAGACGCAGAAGTGTCCCCTTTGGTCCGCGCGGCAGGAAAACACGCCGAAGTGAACCACCACCGGGTCGCATTCTCAGCGACAACCTTCCCGTTCAAAGACCCGTCCCCGAATAGTGAGAATCCGAATTTACTAGGTGTGCGGATTGACGTCTGCACGAGCAATGGTCGCTTTACGAAACCGTATTATGTTTTGTTGAAACGAGTGCGCGGGGAGGAGAAGAGGTTGCGAGTCCATCGGCATACCATTCCGGCATTCATATCGGTGGAGAAGCTCGAACGAGCGTTTTTGCCTTTACCTGCCGCCCGTGAGGAGGAAGCGGAGGAGAACTTGAAGCCGTGGAAGAGGAATGCAAATAGGCAGGATTTGCCGAGGTTCGTTCGCGAATTGAGACGGCAGTTAGCTGCTTGGCATTTGAGGATGGATGCGGTGAATTATCTAAGAGGCAAACTCGGTGTACAGCGGCGTGCTATTGAAGCTTATAACGACGATGATGACGGTGTTTGGGTGCGAGATATTTTAGCAGATAACCAGGAGGAAATCCGGCTGGAGACGAATGACCTCGGCATTGTATCTCTTTCCCCCACCGCGCTCGATGCGACTTATGTTCGGCTTGAATGGGAGGATGGACGGGTGGGACGATTCAAAATTTCCGATAATGGGGTCGTGGAGCGTGCCGTAGTCATCGGCGATGATGGACGAGACAAGTTGCTCGAAGCTGTTTTGACCGGCGGGAATGGTCGAGTAGAGACGGTATTGGACAGATTGAAGCAGCATTTGGTCCCCAAAGAATAAGCTTGGGCAGGTCCCAATCTGAATCTAAAGCAAGCATATACCCAAGGAGTTCGTGAATTAATCAAGTTAAACCTCTGAAGCCATAAATGCATGTTCGTACATTCCAATGTTGAGTGCAAGAAAATTCTAAATAGTCAAAGAGGAGCAAATCTATGTAGCGGAGAAAATAATATCATGCAGGAAGAAGAGAAGTAGGATGCACAAGAAACCAAAAAGCCGCCAAAGTGTATAATGATGCCTCACCAGAAAGCAAACGCACCGAATGCAGCAAAGAAATGTCGTAAAATTACAAAAAGTAAATGTCAGCAATAGCCGAAGTATAAAACATTAAGCTAAATTAAGGTGATATGTCACTGTATATGCAAAGGGTGAGAACCAGAAGGAGAGGAAAAGGGAAAGGGTATCACTGGGACATCGCATCATAAATTATAGTAGCGGTTCACCTCTCTTCCGGTGCACCAGTTCCTCATCACCGCTTGCACTAGTTGGGTTCTCTTCCGAAACGGAAATCGCCGAGTCGCGCGTCTCATAGCGACAGTCGGAGAATGACAAAGGGGGCAGAGGCCCGTAGGGTTGATCATATTGAACCTCGAGCTTCTTCCGCAGAATTGCTTCTTCCAGGTTCCATCGATGGCGTAGTCTTGTCTTCTTGGCTTCAAAGATTTGCAAAGCCGATGCCTCCTCTAGCTGGTGGTCTCGTTGGAGGTTGGCAAACTCCAGCGCGTGCTTGTCGATCAAATCGTCCAATTCTTTCTCCATACGGGCTATAACTTCCTGGAGCTTGAGTTCTTGGCGGTCCCTTAGTACTTTGATTTTGGCTTCGTGAAGTCGGTCCATCGATTCATGGTCGTGATATTCCTGAGCCAGTTGAGCCTTGTGCTGCGGGGTATACTTTCGAGTAGGCGGTGGTGATATCTCGGATCCTGACGCCGATCCGGGGGAAGGTGGAGGGCTTGCATTGCTGAAGTAGCCCTCCATATACTTTATTCGAGTACGGGAATTCATCTTCGCTCGCTCAAATTCGCGGACTTGATCCATTTCCACGGCAAGTTGTCGTTCCTCCATACGGCCCGCATCGGCGATATTCTAGCCAAAAATTGTCAGCAACTAGAGATCATATACATTGACAAAGGCAGTTACCTTTTCGCGCTTTTCTTCTTCTGACCGTTTATTTGCTGCGAGCCGGTCGGCAACAATCATTTGGTGGTTGCGTCGGAGTTCAGTAATGAAAGCGTCCTGAAAGGTCATGTGCCGGTTCTTCTCCATCTTTTGGGACTCGCGCATCTGCCTGAGGTCTGCATTTTCAAGGCTCCGCCGAACGCTCTCATTGTCAAACACAGGTATCTCCAGCCTCAAGACTGGGCTCTCTTCATCTGCAGTATCGTGGCCCCGTGGTTCATTGATTTTGGATTCCACATAGTATTTGTCAACCCCTCCCTCACCCTTCGCAACGGTGATCTGCGCAGCCGGAGGGAGTAAGACAGCGGAGGGTGAACGCCGTTTCCGGAAATGAATCTTGTCAATGGCGGACTTCAGGGTTGATTTCCGTCTCTCTTTCTTTTCACTCGAAGCCACACTCAAGAAAGAGCTTCGATGGCCGGGGGTTCGCAATGCGATGCCATCTGTGCCGTGTGCCAGTTTCCCCTCGCTCGAACTATAAGAGGTTGGGCGCGTTGAAAGCGAAGCGATCGAGCGAGTACTACCGCACTTGGCATGGTCGGATAGGTTAAACTCGGAAAATGACGATGCGATCTGATCAAGAGGGGGTATCTCGTTAGATGGGGTGACTTCACAGACGGAATTGCGATCGGTTGAAGAGCCCGCTGATGACAGGATCGGAGAGGAAAGATCGACCATGCCCGAGGCAATCGACGCGGCCAGCGATGCCACAATTTCAACCTCCGGAACTTTTAATCCCAACTGGCGCGCTTCTTCTACTAGCGTTTGTTCTTGCGATCTCTCATCTTCCTCGGAGGGGATAAGGAGAACCTCGTTGCGGTATTTGTTCTCGTCGAACCCGACGGATTTGCTGGACTGCATCATGCGATTGGAGGGATTTGATCCGCAGAAAACATACGGTGCAGATGAGTCAAAGACCAGGTATCTTAAAGAACAAACGAGACAAGACAACAATAGGTATTTCACAGATGTGTGTTTATAAAAAAAGCCAACAGGCTCGTCCACAGCACTCGACGCACAGTGGACGAGATGGAGGCGCTCCAGGACGGCATCCGACTAGCGGAGTGTGAACTAAGAAAGAACAAGTTGAATACGAAGGACGGACCGGGGGGGAAAGGAGGGAAAGGGAAGGAGGGTGAGTGGAGGGAAAGGAACTAAGAAGATTGACTGATTTAATTAATCGTATTAATTAATTCCTTTTTTTTTAAGGAGACAGCAGGTTAGGTCTGTGATATCTCTCTTTCTCTTGTTGCGGTCCCACGAGTGACCCGCCTGACCGAATCATTAACTAATCTGACGACACGGATGATTGTTATTGTTTATTCGGGAAATTCCCTTTTCCTTTTTTTTTTTTTTTTTTTATTATTTTCCATTCAGGTACAATCCGTTTCCCATTGTTAAGCAAGTTATGGTAACGTAGGTCAGTGGCTTCTCCACCCAAGGGAATCTGTGACCGCGGGTGAAACGCAACTGCCCCTCCAGGGGTACTACTTCGGGCAATTTAGGGCATAGGGCATTTTTGCCGGTCCGTTCCGCCCCCAAGAGACAACCATCCATGGTGTGGTTTCAGCCACTGCATCACCATCGCCTCTAAGTCAGGCACCGCTGCTTCAAGTTTCAACGGTTAATGAGGATTTTCTCTTCTGGCCCACTGTTCTTCTCCAGTTCCAGGATCGTCACCGTCCCATCATCCTGGTATTATTCTTTACCTCGTGATTCGATGATGCGGTGGCCTAAGTTGACACCTCACCGTCAATCGTATGAACTTCTATGGAGTACCAGCTGGCGCCAATGCACTATTGTGGGTGGGCCAAATGATATGCAGTTAGACCATAATGGATTGATTCACCGCCAGTTACCCGATCCTAAATAAAAGCAGCAAAAGGCATATGAAATTTTTATGAGATACGTATATAAGCTGGCAATCTGATGTCTCATCTCTCAAGACCGGGACAACACTGCGATGGCCATAGCGTAGGCCTTGTCTTTCGCGTCTGCGGAAATGCTCCCTTCGGGGGCATTCTTGTCAAAGCCATGATTGCAGCCCTGCATCTGGTGAACACGAATCTCCCGCTCCGGTTCTTTTCCAATTTTAGCGGCAAGCGCCTCAGCTTCGCCTGCAAGGCTATCACAAGCTGCCGTCACCAATAGGATACGGTCGGGAAAGCGGTCAGCTTGGGCATAAAAAGGCGAAATTCGAGGGTCTCTGGCATCGTAAGACGCAGGAATGTAACATCTATCAAAAACTCGGGCTAGCGCTGCTGGCAGCGGCTTTCCTGCAGAATCCGGTGGAGTCTTTAAGCCTGGTTCCGTGTACAAGTCAACCGGGGGATAGAAAGCGAGCAATGATCGAAAAGTTCCCCGGGGGAAAACATTTGAGGAGAGTGCCAAAGCCAGATTACCCCCGGCGCTGAACCCCGAGATCGCCAGCCGGGATGTATCGAATTTCTCAGGCCGCTGGAGAACCCAGTTCACCGCATCCTCGGCATCGTGGAGGGCTGCAGGGAAGGGATGCTCAGGTGCTAACCGATACTGTATATCTAGCACCGTGTACCCCGTCTCTCGGCTGACTTGCCGGCAGAATTCATCGTCGCTCCCGTGCATAGGAATAATGAATCCACTGCCATGGAAATTAATGAGAATGGGGGTTGGGTTCGGCGCCGATGTCGATCGGTAGACATGTGCTTTGATTGTTCGCGCTGCCTCCCGCGACTGAATATAGACGACGTCATCAGGGCTAGAAATAGGATGCTTGCCGCGACTAGCGAGAGCCCTGATTAACACGGCAAGGACTTTGTAATATAGATAGGTCAGAAAGAACATGGTGGAGTCTAGTCTCAGTCTTCGTAAATAAATGCGCGTTGGGTTTCGGAAAGTCACAGCGACTCAGAACGTCTCAACTGCCGAACTTATATCGGCCATTCTGGCGTCAGTGACTTCGGACGGTTGAGTGGCTCTTGGAAGGAGACTAATAACTCACTAGTTTAGGATCGGTGGACCACCGCGTGGTAACTAAAAGTGGACGGTGTCTCCTTAGTCCAAATTACGAACCAAAGATTCGTACACAGTAGCGTATGAACCCCAAATGATGACGTCTTAGACAATCTACGAGATGTTATCCTACACAGTACGTTTTGCGTTGTGTTAAAGTGCTCTGGATAAATCTTAGTTATGGGTAGGTGTGGTGCAGTACAAAATTATAGGGTTCAGCCATATCAAGATTGCTGCGGAGCGCTCCAATGGATCCATTATCATAACTGATTACTATTTTCGGAATACTCACGTGGACTGGAGTTAATACCGTGGCAATACCCACAGATACTACAAATGATGGCCTGTCTCCCGTAGTGTGGGTCAAGATGCACGACATGCTTCTATTATTGCAACGCACATGCTTTGGCATCTGACAACAACTTCCCGTCATCCATTCAACCGCAAACAATCAATCAGATGATCCAACCGCCACGATCTCGTCGCCGGCATCAATTTATCTCCACGCGTACCTGAATTAATAGATTACAACTGCAGAGAGGGGGGTGGACGTATAGTCTTATGAGCATAATACAGTTGAAAACTGCGTCTTCCTGATCGTCCCAAAGCTCCACCGCCAACTCCTCTAGCTTATCTCCGCTGGAACAACAACCACCACAGGATGACGTCTCCTAACCAGTCCGGGGATACCAACTTTACAGTTTTCATACGCCTCCCTTTTCCTCGGGGCGATTTTGTGGATCCTCCACCTGCAAGTATTTTCCCGGCTAACGTGCATAAAACAACTACTGACTGAACTAGGCTGAGTGGAACGCAGCGAAGGACCAGGCTCTGTGGGACCTACTATCGCGGCCCTCTAAGGGTGATGATATAGACTGTATGTATACCTGCGTAGGGTTTTGGCGTCTACTATAGACTAACTAGTCACAGGGAAAGCATTGTATGTTCACGCATCCGAATGAAAACGCTCATGTCTGCTTACGTGTATACGTAGAGCGGAACGATTCGATGTAACTCTCCAGTTTCTCCTTCAACAAGCAGCATGGCTGTATGATCGGCAATTATCACAGGTCCGCTGGCAGATGCGCAAGGTGGGCACCACACAGTCGAGTTCTCCGTCCCCTGCTCCTGGTTCTGTATCGGGAAGCACAGCGCTCGGCGGCCAATCAGCCAAGGGTGGTCCTGGTGCAGGTAAGCAGGTCTTCCGGCGCTGCATGTGTCATCAGCTCATATGTATTAGCCCCACGAGTCCCCAGTCGTCTATCCTCACATCAAAAAGATACACTCCCTCAACGAGGTAGTCTACCCCCGAGATATCCTCCTTATCTGCGTCCGGAAACCATGGGAGCGAACGCTTGTCTAACTATCTGCAGGCCCGCCGCCACGTCGGACAAGCTCGGCAACTACAGTAAACCAAATCAAAATTTCGAGGGAATCGCCCCGCACTGAAACCCCCGTGGAGCTCAAAGATCCACGCTGGGAAAGCGTCAACCGGCGTTCATCAGCAAGCAAGCGGGACCATGCTCCAGTTCCATCGGCACCAGTTCACAAATCACCCGTCCTTCAGGAAGAAGACTTTAGTTCAAGCTCAGCCTCATCATCCTCGTCAGACGAAGACGACGGTCTGGCCAGTAGACGAGGACTACGATTCCGACGATTCGGCAAGTTCTCCACACATCAACCTGGTCTTCGTGATGACGAAGAAGACGAGGATGAATCACCCGCATTTCTTCCGCTTTCCCGGGCCCAGCCTGAAGCTGCACGAGACCCGTCAGCGCAGGACCTCAATGCAACTCTCCGGTTGCAAGGTGAAGATCACGCGGGAGCACGACGCCGCACGTCAGAGCAGAGTCCGATTCCAAGGGCATCGGTTACGACCGAATCATCGACAAGCTCTACTAGTTCAGGGGCTCCAGTTACAGTGCCACGTCGGGGAGTGAATAGTATTCCATCACCGTTGAGTTCATCACGGAGGGGAGAGCTGGCCCATCTCAGTCCCCGGAGGTTGAATGCTTCTGGGAGGGATGCGAGTGATGGTACACCGAGTATGGGAAGTAGCTACAGTGATCTTGATGGTGAGTCTCTGCTTTCTGTTTCATTCTTAGCCCCGTTTTGGCTAACAACGACATTGGTAGACGCAAGTGTTACGCAGTCGGCACTTGAGGAGGCTCTCCTGAGTAATATGCAACATGGTGGTATGGCGAGTCGCATGAGTACGATCAGTCAGGCGTTACGGAGTCGGTATTTGTGAAGGTTGGTTTGTTACTCAGTCTAAATATTTGGTTTCGAGAAACCCACCCGGCGTGGACAAACGTCAAAAAGCGACTTGTTTACAACACCCTTCGGCTATCAATCAAGAGTCGATAGTCCGCTAAGCCTGAATACCACTGTGATGCAGGGTTGCTTTAAACTTTTAAAGGATGAGACGCACATGGCTGCTGTATCAAACAGCTTGCTTTCCCCAATACGGAAAGCGGACAGTAACGTGTTCCAATAAATACACATACGTGTGTAATTGATCACTTTTATGAGAGCACGCAAATCATATGCCGTGCCATCTCATTAGAGCTCATCAGCTACTTTCAATGTATCAATATCTTGGGCATGAGCGACAGCTTTTGTACGGTTGATAGTTTCGCAGTATTGCCCCGTATACCTCCTTATACCAGCCCGCAGTGACATGGAACGGAAAGCCTGGTGGTGAGTAAGTCACGGCATTTCTTATATAGCGTCAACTTTTGATGATCTTCACTAAATGTTAAAAATTGATTAGGAGCGAGTGCCATCGTGACCTTTCTCTACAGCAGTACAGTGCCTTGAGGACAAGCTTCACTTTCAAAAAAGAAGAACAGATAAGGGGACGCTCAGAATATATAGGGCGATGGGTGTAGGCACTGAAACCATACGATTTGCGATTTACTCGTTATATATTTCTTGACTATAAGGCTCTTTACTATTAGAGTAGTATTACCTCCAACGGCACGCATATCAAAATCATTCGATGCACAGCAGTTCTCGATGCTTTATCGTATCTTTGACTCAACGGAGATCAACAATCTTTTCCTAACCCTCAACAGTTTTTTTGTTTAGGGCGCAAACGTTGTTGATGTTCAGCCACTCCCTGCAACCTGAGGCATTCTAAGATCAGATAAGGTTAAATCCCGCCCACGTGATCACCCGTTGGACCGGAGCGACATGATTGGAGGATCAGCTGTCATCTGCGTCATTTGTTGCGGGCGGTGAGCGAAAGTTCCCCTCTCAATTGCCCCTCGGCATCTTTTTTGGGGGGCGTGATGGAGACAACGTTGTAGAAATCAGTATCACATCAAACCACTTTCTCGATCTATTCCCCTGGTGCAAACCCCGCGGCCTTTGGTACGATCCGAAAGAACATTGCTGTAGTGGTGCAATTGAGACCTCTTCGGTATCACGTCAGACCGAGGCACTTACAGTTTACGGAGGACTAATTCCGGCGTACAACATACCACATAGGTCCGTCATTCCTCTTTCATGGCTCAATTGTTTCTTTTCCTGTCTTTTTTTTTTCTTGTGGAGGTGCATACTATCCCTTACAATTGAGAATTTTACACGTCATATCTTTCCTTCCCTTTGAAAACAACTATTGTTTGGAAAGCGACACCGTTCTGATATCGCCTTTTAGCATCGTCATACTCAAAAAAAAAAAAAAAAAAAATTAAGGCCCGGTCACCCCGTCTTGATTACCTTGGAACATGGCCTCTGCTCCCACACATGAAATGACCCCTGCTGAAGCAGAGTCAGTCTACTTCAACAATTATCCTCCGCCAAAGGCTCTTCCAAAACACGAGGCCCTCGCTCGAGCTTTCATCAACTATCATGTCGAGGACAACAGACGTCTCGTTCTCGTCACGTCGGGAGGTACAACGGTTCCTCTGGAGAACCAGACCGTTCGCTTGTAAGCAGCCTACTTGACCCGGGGAGAGTGTGTCTCTGATAATCTTTTGCTTTCCCAGCATCGACAACTTCTCCGCCGGAACAAGAGGTGCCACGAGTGCTGAGTACTTCCTCGAAGCAGGATACGCCGTGATTTTCCTGCATCGTCAATTTAGTTTACTGCCATATTCTCGCCATTATAGCCACTCGACCAATTGCTTCTTAGACTTCATGGACGAAGCGCCCCCAGCCAATAATGCCGAATCTGATCACGGGCGTATCGTCGTCCACAGTGAATACCAGGACCAGATGCGAGATGTGTTGAGGAAATATCGCTATGCGAAGAAACATAACCGCTTGCTCCTGCTCCCGTTCACCACCGTATCTGAATATCTGTTTGAACTGCGATCGCTGGCCACGTTGATGAAACCCCTGGGCCCTAATGCCCTCTTCTACCTCGCCGCGGCGGTTAGCGACTTCTTTATCCCGAGCGATCGGATGTCAGAGCATAAGATCCAGTCCTCTGAGTTGCCTAAAAACCTGAACAACGAAGAAGCCATTGACCCCTCGGACATTTACACGGGCGGAATCCCCCAGGAGACCAAGCCGCCCACCCACAGCAAGAAGCTGATTATCGACCTGGACCCTGTGCCGAAATTTTTGCATCAGCTTGTGGACGGATGGGCACCCGACGGAAGTATGGTAGTCTCCTTTAAGCTCGAGACCGACCCCAATTTGCTTGTGTACAAAGCACGCACGGCACTCCAACGGTACGCGCATCATCTGGTGATTGGCAACCTGCTGTCAACGCGGAAGTGGGAAGTGGTGTTTGTCACCCCTGAAGCCCCTTATGAGCGCTGGATCCGGGTCCCCAAGTCTAAGCGCAGTAAGAGTATTTCTGGAGCAGAAGAGCAGGTGGGACTGGCCGAGGCAAAGACAGCGGGGGGCTCAGCGGTCCCGAAGAATGGGGAAACCAGTGGGGACTATGAACAGGGGCAAGACAATAGCCACGAGGGTATGGAGATTGAGGCGTTGATCATCCCTGAGTTGGTCAAGCTGCACTCGAATATGATTGCGAAGCATGGTACCCAGGCTTAGTTGGTATATCGTTGGTTGGCTATTTAGTATGCACTGTACCTGCATGGGTGTTTACTCTATTAGACTGATACATTGCGCTTTTCCCTTTTTTTTTCTTTTTTTTCTTTTTTTTTTTCTAAATTAATTATTATTATCCTCATTTAAACTATAAATCGAATTAATTAATTTCGTCAATAACGACGTTTAGATTGAGATTGGCGCCATTCTGCGGCGATCAGTGACGATGATTACCAGGTTGGGAGGCATATTGGGTGGATAAAATACCAGCCATACCGTGTCGTTACCCCGTCCGTGACTTTTGTTCATTACTCCGTATGTACAGGATCTATCAGACTCTTCCTTCCTTTTAGAACCCATGTTTGATGTTTGATATCACAACCAATTGCTATTCCCGAATGCTCCGAGACAGGTGAGACTCAATTCGGTGGTTGGTTACAGCTTAATGGAGCTGTTTCAGTTTGACTGTCAACCAGGAGTGTCTCATTCTTGAGCTGCGCCCATACGCGTCATTGAGGTTCAGATCCTAGTGGGTCGATCATCCACTACACTTGCTTCTTGACTCTGCCGCTTAACGAACGTGCAGGCAACCTACCGTACCTGCTCGTCCCTTGTCGATCTTCGGGACTTGGGGGGCTGTTTTTTCTCCTTCTTTTTTTCTTTTTCTTCTTGTTCGTTTGTTTTCTTCTCCTTTTCTGCCTAATCTGTTGTGACTTTACATTCTTCATCGGCCCCCAAATCCCTCATCGCAATCGACCAGCCGAGGCAAAGAGAACAACGAAAAATGGTGGATTGCTCCCCATCGATTTGGAGGAACGGTCATAATCTTGCTCTTTTGGTGTAATTTTCCCAGGTGCTCTGTGTGGAGGCTGTTCCTAGCTTCCGACGAGCCTTCCTCTCTCGCTAGCTAGGATGTTTCCTCGTCGATTCCGTCGCATCGCCGTCATCACCTCCGTCCTTTGTCTCTTCCTCCTTTACCACTTCTCCGGTCTCCGATCGAGCTTCCACCCTACCACCACCCATGGCCGCCGTCGGGTCGAATGCCCACCCCTCCCGGGCATGGAAGACGTGCTGGTCGTGTTGAAAACAGGTGTCACCGAGGCATTGGACAAGGTCCCGGTGCACTTCCAGACCACCCTGCGCTGCGTCCCGAATTATGTGATCTTTTCCGACTTCGAGGAGGAAATCAATGGTATTAAGGTGCACGATGCCTTCAAGAATATGGATCCCGACGTGAAAAGGACCGTCCCCGACTTCAGCATCTATAACCGCCTCGTCCAGATGGGTCGAGCGGGCCTGGAAACCGGTGATTTCGCCGACGAGGCCAACTCTGCCATTGGCAAGCCAAACAACCCTGGTTGGAAACTAGATAAATGGAAGTTTTTGCCGATGGTCCAGGAAACGCTCCGCCACAAGAGCGACGCAAAATGGTACGTCTTCATGGAAGCGGACACGTATTACTCATGGGGAACGTTGCTCGAATGGCTCTCGCACTTTGATGCGTCCAAGCCGTGGTACATCGGCACCGAGACCCAGATCGCCGATGTCATTTTCGCTCACGGCGGCTCGGGCTTTGCCATCTCGAATCCAGCCATGCAGCGAGTCGCGAAGGAGTATACGGAGCGCAATGTCGAGCTGAACGAGTACACGGATGCTCACTGGGCCGGAGACTGCGTCTTGGGCAAAGTGTTGGCTGACGTCGGCGTGCCATTGCACTTTTCCTGGCCGATCCTGCAGAACACCAACATTGGTGAACTAGATGAGTTCACGACCGCCTTCTACCGTCGACCGTGGTGTTTCCCCGCCGTCGCGTTCCACCATCTGAGCGCACGCGACGTGCAAGATCTGTCCAACTTCGAACAACGCCGATGGCGCGAGGTAAGCTTTCTGTCACCCTCTATCTTGAATGTTAGCTAACCTATCCCTACAACAGAAACAATCCACTCTTCTCCTCCACGGCGACGTCTTCAAAGAACTCATCTACCCAAATCTCTCTTCATACCGCGACCACTGGGATAACCTCTCCGACGAAGAACACTCGGAATTCACCACCTTCGACGAATGTCAATCCCTCTGTAAGGACATGTCCGACTGTGCACAGTTCTCCTTCCGCTCCGGATCCTGTTTCACCGGCAAGACACCCAAACTGGGCACGGCCAACTCGGGAGCCCGGTCCGGATGGGCTATGAAGAAGATCGAGGAAATGATGCACGAGGCGCCGGTTTGTTCGAGTGTGGAGTGGGGTGCGGCTTGATATTTCTTTTTTTTTTTCTTTTGCTTGTTTCTGTTTCTTTCTTGCGCGCATTGGCGACGATGCATTGGCAGTTCGCAGGTCGAACGTGATGGGCTGGAGTTATACTCTGTTAGAGCTCGATGTCGATTGTCAGAATGAGACTCAGCTGGTTTATGCTGATCTCCGGGTTGGATGCATACTATAGACTACAATTCTCGTGTGCTCTTTTTCTGATCTGTTTTTATGGGCGGTGTTGGGTCTGGTCTTGCATGGTAGGAGTTGTCAATGGTTTCATTCAATACAGCAATTCTAGCGAATCTCAACTACCACAATAAGAGCAACCAGTTTAACGATGAGCCATAACCCAGGTACTTGGCAAACCCACTAAACTGAACTAAATCACCTACGAAAAGCAAGAACACCCAATTCACAAACTTCACAAGCACAAAAACCCAATCCAATCATCCTACAAAAGCTCAGGAGCCGCGGGGTCCTCCAGGCATTGATCAATACGCATAATCTTCAATCCCTTGCCTTTGACAAATCGAATAATCTCCCGGAAATACCCCACGGTCGAATTACTCAGATAATGCAGCACTGCCAGATTCCCGCCGCGCTCGACATCGCGGTAGAACGCCTTCAGCTGGCGTTCGGGCGTGTCGGAGTCTGCCCACATCCAGTCCTCGATGTCGACGCTCCAGTTGATGATTTGTGGGTTTTTGATACGTTTGGCGAGGACTTCGCGCGTTCGGGAGCCGATTGTACCGTATGGGGGTCGGAAGTAACTGGCTATTGCTTGATTAGCTCGTCGGTTGCAGGGGAGTATTTGATGGTGACTTGAGTGTAGTTGTCCTAAAATATGGATGGACGGGTATAAGTGCATAAATACATACACTCTACCCCAAGCAAAGACTTAAACGTAGCGATGTTGCGGAAAATATCGTCATCTATAGCTTTGATCGACTCCATTCCTTCCATCCTACATTCGTCACTCATTAGCGTTATCAAATCCTCACACTTACCCATTCCCTCCCTACCCCTAACACCCTAAGCAACAAAGGAGAAAATTGAGAGAGGGGAACTCACTTGGAATGTCCATCCGAATGTAACGCAATCTGATGTCCATCTTCCACCATCTTCTTGTAAAATTCCGCAAACCCTGTCTTATTATCCCTAAGTGGTCCCCCCACAACAAAAAACGTAACCAGCACGCCTTCGCTCTCCAATATCTCCCTCACCACGTCCGCAAGGCTGGGTATGCCATCATCGATACCGAAAGCAAACGAACCAGGTCTCGTGCACCGGAGTCTCAGCTCCCCGGTCGGTTGTTTCTTTGGAACTTTGACACCGCGTGGGAGGGTCGGGATCAACTCGACCTTGTACACTTTGACTGGGCGCCTGTATGGTGGATAGAAATTTCCAAGGGAGATGGAGAGGACGCGCGAGTGGTCGATGGTGAAGTGGGAAAGGGGGATGTAGAGGTCCTGTTTCTTTTGCTTCTTTGGTTTTCGGTGGTGCCAATGGGGTTTGGCAGTGTAGCGCGAGGCCTCGACGCTGTCACTGGTTTCGGGATAAGGGTTTAACGATGGGTTGCAGGAGGGGTTGTTTTGGTGCATGGAGATGCTGAAGGTTGGTGGGCCGGAGTAGACAATATGCAGGATCCAGGTTGTGTAGGGGGTTAGGTCGAAGCACGTTGTTGAGGAGAGTTGGCTGTGGTAGGTTTGGTCGGCATCTGAGGCGTTCAACTCAATGTAGTTCCGTCCTCGGGTGACGGGGAGGTTTTCGAGGGCGCCGTGCCAAGATCCGAGATTGTTTTTGTCGGGGTGGGTGAAGGTGTCGACGATTATGGGGGTGTTGTTGGTCGTGGGTGGGAGAAAAGTCACTTGCAGGGGTGTTCGGTGGGTGGCTTCTGTGGTTGTGGTAAGGGTGGCCCAGAAGAGAGCGAGGATGATGTAGAGATACAGAGTATGCATGATTGCTGATATGAAGTGGGTGGACTGTGTATGATATAGAGTCAAGGAGTGGACTGTGATAACTTCACACTTGTAGTAGTAGATGATAGTGGATGGTGGATCTGTGTCACGATGGTCAGCTTGCTCGACTGTGCAGACAAACGATGGAGGCATGTATACTCACTCACTTTACACGGAAGGAGCGATTGATAAAAGGACATACCCCAGTAGGGCTACGACTGCTCCCAATCGAATCGAAGATTATTACTTATTAATTTCTAGGTCTAGCCATACAGGAAAACAAAGCCACCATCCCTCACTGCCCGAATATTCCCAACCCGCCCAGTCGTTGGTTAAGAAGCCCTAAATCCATACCCTCTGAATTCCAAAGTAGGAGGAGACAACTTCCCGTGACCATCCGTTTACCAGGCTCCCAGGGAATGGTCGAGGCTAAGAAGGCCGGCTCGCCGTTGTTTCCCGCATATGGAGCTGAAACCGCAGAACAGTGGAAGCCGCAGTAACCTGCACTGCTTAGAACATTTGATGGGGTGAACACGCAGAAGTTACACCAGTCGACTCATCACCAGTATTACCCGGTACAACCTAACCACCCAGTAGCCTTGGTGTCAACTCAGCCCAGCCAGTGGTGAGAGATGGACGACCGTCAACTGCCGGAGAGCCTGAAAAGGTTAACTAGAAGTCGTAGTCGACGGCAGGAGCAGGGGCATCTTCGGTTTCACCCATGTGAATTCCACCCCAGGTACTATTACCATTGCCCTCGTTCGCATTCGCACCACCACCTTCTCCATCCTCATCGTCGGTGTCGTCCTCAAACAGGTTTTCACCATCGCCAGGCTTGTAGGACTCCAGGAAGTCAGGTATCTTCTGTTTGGTTTCAAGAAGAAGCCGAACAAGATCAGGGGCGAGGTCCGAGTCGCGGTCATGATTGTAAAAGGAGGTAGCAAGTCCTTCGTTTCCAATTCGGGCAGTACGTCCTAAAATAGTTAGTATTCTGGTGATATGTGCGACTTGTTGCAGTACTTACCAATGCGATGGACATACTCGACGATACCGCCGTGGGACTGACGGGGAAGGTCGTAATTAACAACATGCATGACATTTTTTATGTCAAGCCCACGAGCTGAAACCCCAGTCGCGACCAGGATTGGGCATTTGGCAGTACGAAAAGCACGCCTGTATCTCTTTAAGTTACTGGTTCATCGGTTTGAGGTATGAGAATACTTACAAGGCATCCTCACGCTCGCGTTGTGTACGATCTGAGTGAATAGAAGTGCTGGGTAAACCCATGTTGTACAGGTAATCGTCCAGCAAATCTGCCTGTGCTTTTGAGTTGACAAAGATCAAGGTACGAGAGGGGGGCATTGCCAGAAGCAGATCATAGAGGCACTGCTTCTTGAGATGCTCTTCAGAGTAGACAATCTGAATGGTTTGGCAGTCAATTATACGGCACACAATCCTAGCGTCTCAGTGAATGACTTACACTCTGGTCTACATTGATGTGAGTACTGCCAGGACGTCCGATACGAACACGAACGTGGTCATCAGCAAGGAACTTGCGGGCTAATTGACGGCACTCCTTGTTGAATGTCGCAGAAAACATCATGTAACGGTGGTCCGCATCCTCATTCATATCTTTGTTGGTCAGCATCACAGCTAGACCGGCCAATGCTTTCGCTCTTACCTCCACCTGACATGATCTTGTTGAAGTCAGACTCCCAGTCCGCAAGAAGAAGTTCATCTGCTTCATCGATGATGGTGTACCTGGTCTTGGATTAGTCACATACTAATAACGTTGGAGAAAGTACTTACTTGACCCGGCTGAGAGACAGAATATGAGGCTTATCCATGAAATCCAAAAGTCTTCCAGGCGTGCCAATCAGAATGTCGCAACCTTTCTGCAGCTCGTCCCTCTGGTCACGCACAGGAGCACCGCCGTACACAACACATGGACGCAACATAGAGCGATAACAGAGTCGGCGTGCTTCATCGAATATCTGTGTAGACAGCTCCCTGGTAGGCGCAACGATCAAGACCAGAGGCTCTGCACGGACGGCATCAATGATGGGGTTATACCCGTCCGCCAAGTTCGGACGTGGAGCAGCAAGTTTTTTCGCCTTTCCCATCAACTTTGACAGGACCGGGATCAGGAAGGCCGCAGTCTTTCCGGAGCCTAATTTTGTCAGTAGCTCATTTAACCTCCATATAACCTTCTCAATCACTTACCAGTCTGGGCAATGGCGATGAGATCGTGGCCCGTCATGACAGCAGGGATCGCATATGCCTGGATTGGCGTCGGAATATTGTAGTGACAGAGCTTGACGTTGTCACGCACGATGGGGTGCAGTCCAGCATCATCAAACTAAAGTAATCGTAAGACTTTGGTGTATCATCAGCGCTGAGCAGACTTACACTCTTGATTGGATTGGGACGATCACGACTTTCAGCGACGACTTCGATGTTTTGGAGACTTCAAAGGTCAGATTTTGGTGACAGTACCCAATGAATACATCTACTTACTTTCCAATTCTGAGACCAGTTCGATTTATGAGCTCACTCCGAAACAGCATCTCCTCAAGCTGTGGGTTGGCAGGACCAACGTCACCGTATTCGTCTTTCCACTCGTATTTTGCCGCGTTGGCCGCCCACTCGGGGAGATCCTGCTGTTGCTGTTCTGGCTCAGTGCCCTCACCAGGGGTGGCGAGAGGAGGCCCGAGAGGGGCTGTATTGTACTTGGAGTAGTCGTAGCCCTCTGGCTCAGTCCACCCCTTTTCGCGGGCAGTACTAGCAGCTTCGATCTTTTTGACATTCTGTGCGTGCGTTACATCCTCAAGGGCAGCGCCAATTTTGGACACGTCAAATGTATCCATGATGTTTGAATCGACACAAAATACGCGTGAAGAGAATGTGTAGTAAGCTGTTGTGTTTCAGAAACACAATGCTGAGCTCGAGGAAAATAATGAAGAGACTGACTTAGAAAGTTTCACACATGTGTGAAGAAAAGTGAGAAGGGGGACAACTTTTGATTGGAGTGAAGAAAGGGTGTGCAGAGAGTGGTTAAATGATGAAGGGGAAGGGGGAAAGAATCTGCAAGAGAAAGAGGAGGACGGAGATGGAGATGGAGATGGAGATTGAGGGACCAGGAGAGTGAGGGGTTGCAAAGGTAACAAACAGAAGAGTGAATATAACAAGAGGTTGCTCAGACATGAAACACATGTACTAGTAGTATGAACTGTTTGGTTAGGGTTACTCTCTTGTACAAACCAATAGGAGGGCCTCGGGGGAGCAGTAGATATCAAGATGTGGATGACTTTGGCTGGGAAGTGCGGTAAGGAACAGATTCAGAGAGAGTGAGAGAGTGAGTGAGAGAATGAGAGAATGAAGTTTTGCTCATAAACAAGAACTTCAGGTGACATCGGGGTTGTCCCAATTGGGATGTCACCAGTCAAATCACTGGGGTTAGGTAACCCTCCTAGAATGATCAAGATATCCTTACATTCTTCAATTCTGCGGATGAGATACTCACCCATTATGTCTGTGCATCAGTACATATATAAAGTATAAGTGAAGTAACACCAAGTAGTACAGCACTTCAAACAGTGGGAATTGGCTAAAGAGCTGTCTTCTACTGCTGGTAGATCAGATGTACATAGAAAAGAAGCCCTGTGCCATGGTTTGAAGCCAGTCTAAGTATATGGTATGAATAAGTACGGCCATGGGGTACACATTTTCATCTCCGTCCCGGATGTATTCTTAGTGCGCAAATTTGTGTTACCACTGAGACCCTCTAGAGTGATGTTTTTATCTTTGTTAGACATATCTATAGATCTAGCCTTTACTTCAGGACGTACCCTTGATGCCATTCAACAGGTAGCCTAAGAGCGATTTCCCCTAATCCTCAATCCAGACTATGACCGAATAACAGCTCAAGGTTTAATGTTAGCTGGAGGTAATTACGAACGGATATAGTAGGCTACACAGACAGTTGGCTACCTTTCTGGGCCAGATGCATACATAGGCATAGCACATTTATTCTACATAGCGTAAAAATTGACATAATTATTCAGTGTGCATTTAAATTAGAGTATCAATATAAATAAGTCTGTGGCTCTATTAATTTACAGAGAAAGGTGGGGTAGGTCCTTCTATGTGGGTGTTTGTACACAGATATCGTAATATATATATCCTGCAAGGAGACTGAGTATGCGTATAGTTGTGCACTCTCTGAGCTTAGCGAGGGACTCACCCCTTAAAAGAAGGAAGAGTAGGGAAAAAAAAAAAAAAAAAAAAGGAAAACCTATGAAAAAAAAAGTACAAGAATAATGTAAGCTTATATCAGCTACTTGCTCAGCTTACTACAGATGTGGGTGGCGAGCCTGATGAGAAATGATGAATGCCTCAGGATGATGATCAAGAATGGACGACGTCATCCGGATGACTTTGGACCGTTGAGATAAGCCCATTCATGTACTACGAGGTCACCATCTGGATATTGTTAAAAAAAAAAAAAAGATTGCTATAGTGCACGTACTCCGTGCATACTCCGGGTAAAGTTGAAAGCTTCAATTTAATCTTGGTTCCACTTCCGATCTCAACGGAAAGCGGGCAGAAGGAGATATACGCCGTAGGGAACAGCACGGCAATCCCATTACTCCGAGATGTCACCCTGAACCACCGCGGTTCACCCATTCCTCGGTTCTGGATGTGACCTTCAAGTTGCTTATTTCTTGCCGGCTCGCCCTTCTCTTCGTTATTTCTTATCATTGATACACCATGTCGTCTACAAACCACAACCCCTCGCGCGCCACTCGGCTAGAAAAAGCCATCACCAACCCCGGTACTGTGAAGATTAATGTCAAGGGTGCTTTCATTGTCGACGAAGATCCGCGATCTAAGAGTCCCGTGCGATTGGATGGCGTGCACTACGAAGGCCACGATATCCGGCTTCCCCATCATACCGGAGTAGTGAGCCATGTTGCTGTCGACGTGAGTGACCCAGCTGCTTCTTTTTTCATGTTCCCTCTCTTTTTTTAGCCGTTCCCCGCATAATCTTTAACCCACCCCCCGCAATTGAATTGCAGTTCCGATCGCATCACCAGATTGTGGCCAGCGCAACTGACTTTGGCTGTTTGATTTTTCTAGATCGGTGGTTCTCTTGCGAAATTAATTTATTTTACACGAGAGCTTGACTCCGTGGACAATGGCGGCCGACTGAACTTTATTAACTTCGACACCCATCGCATAGATTTGTGCATCAACTTCATAAAAGAATTGAAAGAAGAATACCAGAAAGCCCACGGCCCTTCCAGCGATGAGCTATGTGTCGTGGCGACCGGAGGCGGTGCCTTCAAGTATTACGACAAGCTGAAGGAGACATTAAAAGTGAATATTATACGCGAGGATGAGATGGAATGCCTCATCACCGGTACGTGCGCGAGTACCGATTATACACATCCACTGTGCTTCTCCTGAGGCATGCTGACTGATTTTAACAACAGGACTCGATTTCTTTATCACCGAAATACCGAACGAAGTCTTTACCTATAGCGAAACCGACCCAATGCAATTTGCCGAGGCCCGACCGGACGTTTACCCGTACCTATTAGTCAACATCGGTTCCGGTGTATCCATGATTAAAGTGTCGGGCCCTAGGCAATACCAGCGTGTGGGGGGTACCCATCTGGGTGGCGGCACCTTCTGGGGCATCATGTCGCTCCTGACTGGTGCTCAGACCTTCGACGACATGCTGGCGATGGCGGATACCGGGGACAACAGTGGGGTAGACATGTTGGTTGGCGATATCTACGGCATGGACTATAACCGGATTGGTCTGAAGAGCACTGCGATTGCTAGCACGTTCGGCAAGGTGTTTCGATTGAAGAATGACGTGCATGAAGAGGATGGAGAAGACAAATCCCACGGTGAAGATGGGCAAACCAATGGTGAAGTTACATTCAAGCCTGAGGATATGAGCCGAAGCCTTCTTTATGCCATCAGGTAAGCCCAGACTCCCGTCCTCTCTGTGGTTTGATTGAACTAACGTAGTCTAGTAACAACATCGGACAAATCGCATATCTGCAGTCGGAGAAGCACCAAGTGAAGCACATCTACTTCGGTGGATCGTTCATCCGAGGCCATCGGCAAACCATGAACACACTATCCTACGCCATCCGATTCTGGTCCAAGGGCGAGAAGCAAGCCTACTTCCTGCGCCACGAAGGCTACATTGGCGCCGTCGGGGCCTTCCTACGCCGACAGCCAGCGAACTGGGGTCGCAGGAATAGTCTTGACAGTGGCGCCATGCCACAGGAGCTTAAGAGTAGCTCTAATTGACGAGTTAAAGAACCATTCTTCCAGTGTGACTGGAAGCTTGCATGACCTTCTTTGTTGTTTGGTTTATCCGCCCTTTTCCCGATCTCTTGGGCTTCTGATACCCACTTTTTTCAGTTCTCCGTGCATGTTAGACAAAAGAATACACATCCTGCAAATATATCTTGCCAATCTTTCGGGACGTTAATGCAGTTCGATGTTGCAATGGCCGATTTACACTTGTACCATAATATCCTGAATACTTTCTCACTCTTGGTTCCTATGAGCATCTTACATTCACAGACGATGATGGTGTTCTTCTTCTGTTAATTTAGGGTTCTTTATCTATTTGTTTTGAGTTAATTTCATCACAGTTTAATTTAATGATGATGATGATGATGATTATATTCAGAGGCTGACATGGAATCTTGCGGCGCTATTCCTATAATAGCATGTTTATTGCCGCTATGCAGACATTTGGCAGGGAATAGTGATAGACTGCAAGCGGCACAACTAAATATTGAGACATGTAGCTTATCTGTCGTAGATTATTTTTAATTTTTATTTATTTATTTATTTATTTTTTTGGATAAGGAGAGACTCTGTTTGCTACCCAGAAACCGTTGGGGTCACACCGTGCGACAGGTCAGTTTTGCTCCACGGTGTGGAATTGACCAGTTGATAAGCTATACAAAAGCCCGAACAGAAACAATGCTTCATTGTAGTTAAGAACAAACTTCATGCACCTAGTGCGATACTGTCAACTTATGGAGTATGTAGTACGTTTAGGTACCTTCGATATTGGTACCTTACGAGGAAGTTTGGGACTAACCGCTACTAGACTACAACTAGTACGAAGTAGTCCCAGTGGGTACCAAAGTCACCCAATCGGAATGGAATATGACCGGGGTTAAGCTTACCTACCTTTAGCTCATTGGAGTTGACAAACGCGGATCCCCGACATTGACGCGTTGGTTCAGTTCCAAGTTGCTAAGGTATCGACCGAAGCGGTAGGCTCCTTATCAATCATTGCAGCACGCTCAGTTGCGGTCGGATTTCTCATCCATCAATTAATACTTGGTGCTGCTATCCTCTATCATATCGACGGTCGGCAATTATACTACTTATTTCCCTGCGTGTTTCTAGATCGGCAAGTGCGCTAGACTTGGAAGAACCAATATGGTGGATCAGTACGCAAAACTCCGTTCCGGTTATTTCATTTCTTCAAGCTCATTTCTTCTTGTTCAAGGCAAGAAGCTTCCCTCAGCAGGGGCAGCTCCGAGGAAGAGCGCAAGCCGACAGTATCCCCTGCTAACGAACCACCAACATCGACCAGGTTACTTGTTGTGAACCCCAAAGCAATCTTTGGGTCCGATCAGCCGTTTCCCCAACATCTTGCTGATCTACTGGAAGAATGGCACAAAGAGAATGGCACGGGACGACCGCCTTGTAACACGAAACAGCCTAGGAGAACTAAGGGGGCATGGAAGACTTTTGACCGTCAGGGGAAACATCTGGAACTCTCCGCGTATACGATTAAAGGGCCTGCCACGTACAATGTTCTGGTGCTTCATACTGCTGACGGGTCTGAGAGGCTCGTAGGTTCTTACTTCCCTTTCACCACGGTATACGGTACCTTCCTGAAGGGTTGGCTGGGGGTTCATGGTGGGTGGGATCCTACACCTTGTGCAGTGCGGAAGTTCTCGAATACTCCGGATGATCTGAGTTATGAGCCTGAGGTGTGGAACGCATTTGAGGTTCTTGAGATGCGTCGGAATAAGACACAGGCCCTGACATCAGGAGCGAGTGGGCAGCGAAGAAGTCTCCCGGGACCGTCTCAGATGCAAAGACAGGAACCGAGGCCACAGAGAAAGAGCCTACCAGGGCCGATGGTCGCTACAAATGATCGTAGAGATAACATTGCACCTGGCACATCGTCATCATCGGCAGAGGAAGAGTCAGACGAAGATGACGACACTTCATCAGAGTCCTCATCGGACGAAGAGCCCGAGCCTACATCTGCGCCTAAAAGGCGCCGAATGAACGAGCCTAGCGTGCCCACGCATCGAGATCCCAAAGTGGTTTTCAAATTGTTCTCGTATAAATCTGGAGCAGTTCGCTGCTTTCCATTGGACGAATGCCCGACTGGGAAAGGATTCTTCGACAAGGCCCGGGCCTTTTTCCAACTTTTCGATAGGAACGCAGAGGTGAAGATCCTGTCATGCCAGATAGCATCCCAGCCTCTACAGCAGTATATATTTGAGGGCAGTGAAGGCGAGTTTGCTCTGCTCGTGGATCAAGTGAAAAGCCTGGCTGGCGATGGAGCTTTGACTGTAGAGGTCAGTCATGTCTTATCGCTTCACTGAGCTGAATATTGTTTGATTGTGTGACGTTGTATTTTGATGTCAATAACGCTAGTTGTGACATGTTATGTAGCCATGACTAACTATTTGGAATAATGTATATAATTGAGTGTTCGCTATCAGTAGTTGTCGGTTGAGTGCACCTTGCTGTATAGATTGTTGAAAGAACTACCTTGGAAGCGATGACTAATGACCACGTGGGCGAGGCGACGCAATCGGAAGATCTACTTTGGGATATTTCGCAACACGTCCCAAGAATCACCCACTTCATCGTCGCCATGCGTCAAGCATGAATTCAGCACTGCTCGATGCCTCCTCTGTCCGACTCGCCTCCTCCTGTTCCTCCTCCAGTTCCCGTCGAGACCCATCCAAATCGAGCGGTCGGGATAAAACCTCCTGGGCAACAACGGACCCTCCCCGATCCCACCCGGCTTGCCCCTGAAGATGCATACTATTCGCCTGCATTGGTGAGGACGCGAACTGCTCCAGCAGCCTACGATGAATCTATTCGAGGACTGAGCGGGAGCACCGGCACCGCTGCCTCGGTCGCAGCTTTGCGACCGCCGCACGCGGTCCCGGCACGAAAATTACGAGGAACAAGTAGACGCCGGAGACGAAAGGGCGCGTGGAAGAAGCTTCTCTGGGTGAAGCAATCATGTATGGGTTGGAAATAATTTTCCAGTGAGGATGGTTGTTAACGGCGCTGGGCAGATCCTGATAACTACACCGATACCGAAACGTTCCTCGACCATCTCCAACGCAACCCGCGCGTGCGTCCTTACGACTTCTGGCCTCTCGTAGCCGATTCTACAGTCATTGTCCAGCATGTTTGCTCGGTGGCGATCTTTGTTTGCTGTTTCGTTGGCATCGTCCAGGGACGGGTGAGCCCCGTGTCGATTGTGTGCTGGGGAAGCGTCGGGACGGCTATGGGCTGGATACTGTGGGATTCGTGGGTGTTCAGAGAGCATGGGGAGAGCCACGTGGTGGAGCGCGCATCCGAAGGCGATGACGGATCTAGTTCTGGCTCAACCACGAGCTCAATGAACCCATCCACCACCCGGTTAAATGACCAGAAGAATAACCAGGTCCATGGACTTGGGTTGACCATGTCTCATAGTGAGACAGAGCCGGCACGAAGGAGCAGTCACTCGGGTCTCGGCGATTCCTGCACGCAGGACGCGGCATCCTTCGGGGGTACGAATGGCGCTGCTGCCGGGAGCGTCCCGCCTCTGCCTCCCCACGATGCGCCGATGACTTCGCGACTATCTTCGCGCAACCGGCAGCGGCTATCTACCGTCAAATCGGCGTTTTTGATCTACTGTGCATTGCTGGGGCTTAGTCCGATCCTTAAATCGCTCACGAAATCGACGGCTAGCGACTCGATCTGGGCGATGAGTTGCTGGCTGTTGATCACCAACATCTTCTCGTTTGACTATGGAAGTGGGGAGGGCGCAGGCGCTACAAAGTTCCCGGCTTCTCTGTCGACCAACGCCGCGGTGATGGCCTCGACCGTTCTGGCGTCCCGACTGCCGTCGACGACGCATGTGTTCAGTTTAATGTTGTTCTCCATTGAAGTGTTCGGACTGTTCCCTATCTTCCGGCGTCAACTGCGCCATATCTCCTGGACTGGCCATGTGTTCCTGACACTAGCGCTGGTGATCGCCGCTGGTGGCGCAGTTGGAATTACATTAAGGGGCGGATTGACTGCGGCCATTGTCGGTTCTATGTTGGGCAGTATCCTGACTGCCTTGGCGATGGGAGGCTGTAGTTGGTGGCTCATCAGTCTACAGAAATACAAGAACGTGGTGACAGGACCGTGGGACCCGGCGCGGCCCATCATCCGACGCCATTGGGATTAGTTTGGAGATTCGAATTCGAACCGGCTGGATCCCAGATGGCGTGCGAACTATGAGATACCCGTACGAACAATGTTAATATCATTTCGTTTCGTTTTGTTTCGTTTCGTTTCGTTTCAGTCGATGAAAGTGTTCCTCTAATCTACTCTGAAACCCTTCATTATAATTGGCACTCTGATACTACACGGCTCACGCCTGACCGAATCAAAACAAAGAGAGAAAGCCTCGAAAGATCTTACTTCTTGAACCCCTTTTTCAAGCAATAATGGGTCTAATGCAATGTATCAAACGACAAGCAAATATTCGTATCGTAGTGCCCTCGGCTGAGGAGAAGAATGCAAGAGGAATGCCACCTGGCATGTTAGAAGGTTTATTTTAGGCCCGGACCCCAAACTCGAGCAATTGATCGCCTGCTTCGCCCCCAGACTCAGGCCCTCCAAATACCGATGATCCAACAAACAATTCAACGACAAAGGATCCAATGTCTCACTCGCTGCATACCTCCCGGACCTCATTAAGAGATCGACATCGAACAGCGCATTCCCCACTACGTAGTTGTTTATTTGTCTTTGTCTGCATGATTAGAACCTTCGTGTGACTCCGCATTCGCGGCATGATTGCTCAAGTGACCCGTGCACATCCGACTATATAAACCGCTGTCATCTGTCACTCACCCTCCTTTTTTTTTGTTTGTCCTTTCCCCTATTGTCATTGACTCACATACGATACCCCTTCCCGACTGGGACAGAACTTAGCGACAATGCAGTGGAAAAGTCTAGCCCTAGGCCTCCTGGCCGCCGCCCAGTCTGCGGCGAGTCTTCGCTTCGTGATGTATATCGACCAGTATGTTACCTCCTAACCCTAACCCAGTCCTAGTCCCAAGCCCAAGCACAAAATCAAAAATAGCCAAACCGCCGATCAAACGACTAATAGAAATATAAATGATATAGATATCACACCCAAGGCCTCCCCGACAGCAGCGGCACAGAGGGGATCAGCCACGCTGTAATGGGTTTCGCCAAATCGACCCTGTTCAACAGCGACTCACCGCAGCCATGGCAGCCGTTTGAACCGGTCGACACGATGCGCAAGCGCTTCAGCAAGGATACGAAACTACTTGTTGCCATTGGAGGATGGGGCGATACCTCGGGTTTTTCGGATGGTGCGAAGGATGAGGCGTCCCGGGCGAGGTATGCGAAGAATGTCAAGGCTATGGTGGACCAATTTGGTTTGGATGGAGTTGGTATGCTATCTCCTTTCTCTGTTGGGGATTGTTGTGAGTGGGAAATGTAGGAGTGATACTAACCAATGCAGACATCGACTGGGAATACCCCGGTGGCAACGGCGAAGATTACAAAGACATCCCCAACGAGAAGAAGAAGGGTGAGATCGAAACATACCCGCTCTTCCTCGCTGCTCTCCGTAAGGAACTTGGCAAGGATAAGATCATCTCCATCGCGGTACCGGGTAAGCGGGGCGACATGATCGCCTTCACGAAGGAACAAGGACCCAAGATCTGGGAGTCCGTCGACATGGTCAATGTCATGACGTACGATCTCATGAACCGCCGTAACAACGTGACCACGCACCATACCGGTGTCAAGGGTTCTTTGGATAGCATCAAGGCGTACGAGGAGGTTGGTCTTGACACTCAGAAGATGAACCTCGGTGTGGCGTACTACGCGAAGTGGTTCGAGACGAAGAAGGATGCCGGCTGTGACACGCAGCCGCTTGGCTGTGAGGTTGCGGAGCTGGAGGACGCCAAGGGTAAGGACACTGGCAAGTCTGGGGCGTTGACCTTCGAGAAGGGAACCATGGGCGAGCCATCAAAGGATTTGAAGGAGAGCACGGATGGCAGCTGTGGATTTGGCAAGGGCACATGTCCCAACGGGTCGTGTTGCAGCCAGTATGGAACTTGGTATGTGTTTCTCCCTATACCTAACCCCACCCAACATTCCATCTCCATTTTCCCTTTACAATAAATATACTTTGGAAGAATACTAATAAAGTGAACAGCGGCACCACAGACGCCCACTGCCAAGCCGGTTGTCAATCCGACTACGGTACCTGCAAGGGCATCTCACTGATCGACTCCTGGCGTCGTGCCGAGAAGGACGGCGTGACGGACGAAGACGGCGGCGGCCAGTACTACTTCGACAAGGAGGTGAACCTGTTCTGGAGTTGGGACACGGCCCCACTCATCAAGCGCAAGTTCGACGACATCGTGGACGCCGAGAAGCTGGGCGGTGTTATGGCCTGGAGCTTGGGAGAGGATACCTTGAAGTGGGAGCATCTGCAAGCTATGCAGGAAGGTGTGAAGGAGCGGAGTTGATATGCTCGAAGAGCAGTCGTACCTGACACACTGGAGTCACATAATTTATAACCATTTAACTTTATTCTAATGAAGTTTATATCTATTCCGAACCATAGAAAGTCTAGTTCCCTTACCAGAATAAAAAAAAAAAAAGAACAAACCCCACCCCAAAAAAGAAGTAGAGTAATATAAAGTAACAGTGATTGAAGCAACATCAACTACCAAAAACAAAATCCCCCAAATCCGGCCCAAGCAAATTACTACATCCTCCCCGAAAGAACCAGAAAAAACCAACCAATCCGAAGGCAAGGCCCAGCACGGGATCGCACGACCCTACTTCACCGGCCGCAACCATCAACATCCTCATTAAACCGACGCGAAATCATTCATTTAAAGAGCACCGCTTTTTCCCTTGGAATAATAGAAGAAAAAAAAAAAAAAGAAACCTCATAATGTAACCAACCTATTACTTACCATGCACATTCATTTAGAACCACTCCTCTCTTCAGCAATATGAAATGGGTTCTATTTTATATATATTTACTCTGTCTACCGGTTTGTTGGGGTGTGCCGGTTCCGGGGATATCCTTATCTGATAAGGATCAGAAGCAGGATCAGGACCATGGGTTCCAGATATCTAGGGGGATGAAGTTCTGGAGGAGAGTATATGGATATGAATATGGACAGAGGAACAACGGACACCATGAGTCGAATACACGCATACTAGCAGCAACTTCTTCCTCTCGAGATACGGATGTTGATGTTGCTATGACTATGGGGCAAAGTCAACATCCCATCACGCTCACTCAACCACCGGCTTATCAATCATACCATGACTCTAAGGACTATACTTCCTCCGACAACTCTAATATCAACAACGATATTAACAGCAACAGCAACAACGACTACAACAACAATAACGACCTTAATAATCATAATAATAATAATAATAATAACAACAACCCCACAACCCACGGATCTTTCCTCACCACCTCCAATACAATTCCAACACAGATACCACCCTCAACAACAAAACGCTACCTCCGCGTCCTCCACGACACGCAACTCCCCACGACCTTTCTAAAGAACCACATGCATGAGATTGTCGTCGTCGGGTTATTCCTACTCATCCCTGTTACTCTGGCACTTGTGGAGATTATTGAAAGGATTGGGTTGGGTGTTGATGAGGGTATTGAGCTTGAAGAGTATCTACAGATGAAGAGGGGAAGAGGGATGATTCGACGGGGGAGAGGGAGGGGGAGGGTTTTCAGGAAGAAGAGAGGGAAGGGCAAGGGGAAGAAGAAGTTGAAGTTTCTGGAGATGGTGGTGGATGTGGATATTGATATAGAAGACCAAGCACTCTACCGATGATATTTGGGATTATTGTTTATTCAAGATAAGGTAAGGTAAGGATGAATTTGCATATCTTTATTTTTGCATTTGCATTGCTATGTACTGGAACATTCATACATATACATATATATATATATATATATACCAAAGAAAACAAAACAATTAATCGTTATATATTTCATGACTAGACATTCTCCCGCTGGTCGACCTCGGCCTTTTCCGCTGCCCGGGTGAAGGCGTCGACTTCGGCGGCTTCACCCTGAGGCAGGTGTTTGGCCATGGAGACGATGTGCCAGGTGGTAGGGGCGTCACGGAAGACATTGTTAATAGCTTCCAGGTTACGGTTCATGGTCTCCGGGTAGAAGAAGTAGACGACGATGGGGATGCAGGCGGAGATGACGGCGTACATGATGTAGTACTGGTAGCCGATGGTGTCGAGGGCGACGGGGGTGATCATGACAACGACGAAGTTCCAGAGCCAGTGGTTGGCGGTGGAGATGGAAGCCATGGCGACACGGAGTCGGACGGGGGCGACCTCAGTGCAGTAGAGGAAGTTTCCGCCGAGGAAGCCGAAGGGATAGAAGGAGTTGAAGAGGAAGATGAAGAGGGCGGAGACGATGGAGGCGGCGTAGTTTTTGCCGAAGCTGTTGGTGATGGCGAGGACGATCATGCAGACGCTCATGCCGACACCGCTGATCATGAAGATGGCGCGACGGCCGAGACGGTCGATGGCGACGAAGGCGACGAAGCTGCACAGGAACTTCCAAGTCATGGCGCAGGAGGAGAGGATGCGGGCCAGGTCGGAGTCCATGTTGAGGTTCTCTTCGAAGATGGTCGATGCGTACACGGAGATCAGGTTACCACCGCACATTTGCTGGAAGAATTGCAGCGCCATGCAGAGGCCGAATCGGTACAGGAGACGGTCTTTGTCGTTCTTGCTGAACATTTCCTTCAGCGAGCCGCTGTGGTCGGCGCTGACTTCGAGCGAGGACTCGATGCCGGCGATTTCCATGCGGATTTCGTCGTCATCTTCGGGGATGCCCTTGTAGGCGGACAGACTGGTGGTGGCTTCTTCGATGCGGTTGACGCGGACGAGCCAACGGGGGGATTCGGGGAGGAGGAAGACGGAGAAGATGAGGACCAGCTCGAAGAAGAAGGAGATGGCGAGAGGGATACGCCATTGCAAGGAGCCGTCTACTTTACTGAGACCAAAGTCGATCCAGTTGCAGAGCGTGTAACCCAGACAGATACAGATACCGTCGACAATAACGTGCTGGCCACGGTGCTTGGCCGACGTACATTCGGATTGCCACACGGGCACGGCGGCACTGAACATTCCAATACCCACACCGAGGACGACTCGGCCGATGGTGAACTGGATGAGGTTGTACGAGGCCGTCTGGAGCACTTGACCGATAATGGAGATGATAGCGCCGAGAAAGACGGTCTTACGTCGACCCATCCAGTCACCGAGGAATGAGCAGGAGAGGGCTCCGATCAGGGCACCGAGTTGGAAGGATGCGACGACAGCTCCTTTACTGGTAGAATTATGAGCCTTGACGGCACCGGTCGTGTTGACCGTGTCGATTTCAGGGAAGACATGGACCCAACTTTGCAGGGTGGCCAGAGGGCCAACACCAGCTTGGTTGTAGCCGAAGAGGATGAAGGCAGGAACAACGATGAGAAACACCTGAGCCAGGCGGAGAGGCCTTCCTTGGAGCACCATTCTTAAGATTATTGAAGCAGGTCGACAGAGTGCCCAAGTGTTTCCAATGCTTTCTGGGGTAGGGTGGGAATGTGTCGCTGCTGGCCTTTTATACCCTAATTCTCCGGATGCTAAAGGCCCTTCCACCGGACCTCAAACAGATTTCTACGTGGAGACCCCGCATCTTAGTAGCAATTTACTATCCTCACCGAAAGAGAATGCACACAGAAAACTACCGAAGTGGGCTAGGGGCGTGGGAGTGTACCTGTAAAATCAGTGGGCCCCCCAATTGAGCCGTGTTAAAACACACAAAGGTTCCATATCTCAGTTGAGCGTCATACCGATCCACTTTTCGGACCGTGACCGAGCGGGCGACCTAATCAATTATCACAGGGACGGTCATTCGCCGCAAGCTAAGTAATTCAGGGCCGTTCTTCGGTTGAACTCAATTCTGACAAATGCCGCGTTGGACGGAGTATGTATAAAAATCTGGAGAAGTATCGTCCGAAACTATGCCGGTTAATAAGGGCTAGCGATCGGTATTACTGATTTAAGTTGCGCGGCGAGAATATCCCGGAGGAAAAGAAGCTTCTCCCCCCCAGAAAACAAGCAGCGATCTACCTCCACGTTTTTCTTGTCCTTTTCTTGTCCCGGACCATTGTAACCCCGTAAGATATACTCCGTACCCTCCAAGAGAGAGAAAAAAAAAAAAAAACTTAAAATCTTCAAAATTTTAAACAATTGAAAAGTAAAACTCTAACACAATGTCTTAACTTAGTGTACCATGTCTTACAGTCGCTGGATCTCCCCCACCATGGCCTCGGTGACTTCCTTGGTCGTGGCTTTACCTCCCAGGTCTGCGGTCAAGGTTCCTTTCTCACACACATTCTCCACACACTCCATTAGCTTCTGAGCCGCCGTCTCCTCGCCCAACCACGCTAACATCTCGGCCGCGGTCCAGAAGGTGGCCACGGGATTAGCAATGCCTTTCCCGGTGATATCGAATGCTGAGCCGTGAATCGGCTCAAACATGCTTGGGTGCTGTCGGGTGGGGTCCAAGTTGGAGGTCGGTGCAATACCTATCGAACCGGCGAGAGCAGCTGCGAGGTCGGAGAGAATGTCCGCATGCTAGGGATCCCGATTGATCAGCATCAGCCCATCCCCAAACTATAATTTAATAAGGTAATATCAATTCGGCCCCCTCAAAGCCAAGCGTCCAGAGGGAAAAAAAACCTTTATCTGCGCCCACCCCCCTCCTCCTCCCCCACTGGAGAATCTCCGGGTAGGGCAAGGAACGCGAAAGAATTGGATAAAAGGAACAAAGAAAAGGGTAAAAAGGGAAAGTCAAACGCACCAAATTACTGGCAACAATCGTATCCACGGTCTCTGGCTTCAACACCATCCTTGTAGTCATCGCGTCCACCAACATCTTGTCCACCTGCACTTCTGGGAACTCCTTCCCCACTTCGGTCGCAACCTCATCCCAAAGGACCATACCATTGCGCTGGGCATTGCTCTTAGTGACCACGGTCAGTAACTTCCGTGGCCGCTTGGCCGCCGTCTGAAATGCGAACCGCATGATTCGCTCAACACCGTGCCGGCTAAAAATCGCGGTCTCAGTAGCTACTTCCCAAGGGTGGCCGCGGTGGGATCGACCCCCCTGTCCAGCATACTCGCCCTCACTGTTCTCACGAACAATCACCCAGTCCAACTTCCCGGGGGGACAATTCCGAAGCGGCGATTGTGTGCCCCGGAGGACCCGTGTAGGTCGCACATTCGCGTACTGCTGCAAGGGCTGACAGATCGAAAGACGGAGACCCCAAAGAGAAATGTGATCGGGAACATCTGTCGGTATTTACATTAGTAATCGTCGTAACATACTATTGTAGTATTGCATATGCGGGCTAGGTCGATCCCGGACATGGCGGCGGTGTATTTCTTTTTCTTTATCTTTTTTTTCTTTTTTTTTCTTTTCTCTATACTTACCAGGGGCTCCTACAGCTCCAAACAAAATCGCATCGTGACGCTTCAGATCTTCCAGTCCTCCGTCGGGAATGTATTTCCCGGTAGTTTTGTATGTTTCCGAGCTCCAGTCGTAGTGGGTGAAATCAAGCTTGAAAGTGTTAAGCTTCTCGGCCAAGGCGTTGAGAACAGTAACTCCGGCCGAGATGACCTCGGGACCGATGCCATCTGCGGGGATCGAAGCGATGTTGTAGGTCTTCATGGTGCAGTGTGTAATGATCCTAATTGTGATACAAGGATGTTGTTTGTGAGATATTCGGGTAAATTTGTCTTGAGTTTTAGTTCTTCTGGTACGCTTTGATTCGTATTTATGTTTGGAAAATCTTCTGCGTGAGGCGACGGAGTTTGTGAACCCCGCCGGACTTGTTCTGTCCGGTATACTGGCCCCGGAGGTGGACATGTCCGGATTGCCACGCTGCCTCGTCTATCCTGCCATTCTCCGTATTTCCTTTCCCGCTCATACGCAGTACTCCAGAGTACATCTATCGCGGGGAAACTTGGGGGAAGTGACTGCCGATGTTGTTCTCGATGGTAATTACGCGCAAGTGTAACTTATGATGTGAACGTAATGGCTAAATTTGAAACCCCAAATTTTGATCGAAGTTCTCCTCGATTAACCAGGGCCCATCCGCGACGGTCCACAGGTCATTCCACCCGGACTCGAAATCTCCGGGGTCTGGAAATGGGTACGTAAAAGGAAAATTGTTGATCGACGAATCTCCAAATACAACCGAAGGGTGATATTGCGGAGCTGGCCTGGGGTCCTCGGCAATGTTAGTGGGGTAGTCCGGGGCTCTGTCTTCTGCAGGCCCAGGGCTTGCTGGTCGGTTGTCGATCGGGGGCGTTGGCGGTGGGTTGGATAGAGCAGATTCTAGATCGCGGATGGCTTCGATGCAGGTCTGCGACCAGGTATTTCCCCTCAGAGATAGGTTTTGGAGGATGGAGAGGCCTGTTTTGGCGTATCTAATGCAACGAGGTTAGACCGGCGTCTGATGGCTCAGAGATATTTCACCCTTACCGTGAAGCGGATAGCACGGGAAAATCTCCTTCCCACGCGGCATATACTAGGATCAAACAGCTCATCCAGACGGCCCATGTGAATGACGGCCATACCAGCGGCACCGTTCCCCGACCATTGGGCAGGACATAACCTCTGAGAGCAGTGATCAGTGACCTAGACGACTCAATACATACCTGCAATGCCGTCTTGTACTCTGGCGACGATTGCTCGGCCGCCAGAAGTGGCCTGTTCATCGAAATGATCGACTCATGGCGGAAAACGATCAGCAGT